AACTGGGCACCATTAAACAAATCACTGACTGTCTTAAAAATGTACCGAGATTATTTATGGTACCCAAAATTGTCGGCCTCTCGCTTCCATAATAATTGATTGATAAAATATTGTTTTTGTAATTATACTTTTTTTGTCGCGTTAGAAAAAAAATATGAGAGTAAGACTTTTAAGATACGCACCACATGGTACCGAATGGCAATCAATACCAAATTTCTGACCTATAATTCTAAGTTATTTAATTAAACCGTTATCAGTTTCATTTAATGTCCTTTTCACAAACAGAGTACTGGCACCAGGGATAACATTTTTAGTTGTTTTTCTTTTGCTACGATAAAGAAGTATAACTTTTTACGTGCGTACACAAGTACACACGTACATTTTTTTTTTCACTAATTAATATATGCGTTAACACTTAACAGCTCCAAACAATATCTGTATTATATAAAACAATAGCTTTGCGCACCTCGAATTTATAATTGAATGCCTCCAGAATTAATGGCTATGAGATTAATAAAATAAAACGATTTTCACTCGGATGCTTGCAATTATCACGTTCGCTACGTTTATTTGTATTGTTCGTTTTAAAGGATAGCGTCAGAGGGCAGTGAGCTTACATGTATTTATATTGTTAATTAAAGGATTCGTTTATTAAGTACACACCAACAGTATGCATATGTAATGAATAATTTTATACACATGTATACAATTATTTAAAAGAATTATTCACAATAATTCCTTTGAGACAGTTCACTAATTACTCCCCGTTTCTGAACATCAAATATATTTGTGGAGTTGCAAATGCACATAGCACATCAGGAGTATATTTACACACAGATAATTTGAAACATTAACCATTCCAATATAAAAAATTCTCGTTTCACGATGTTTTTAATTGAACTCCTCCGAAACGACTCGACCGATTTTCGTGAAATTTTGTGTGCATATCGGCCAGGATGGAGAATCAGCGCGGGCTTATAGAATATGGCTAAGGTATTCCCTGCCTGTCGTAAAAGGCGACTAAAAGAGGACACAGATTGGCAGCAGCTCGAGGTGGTCTCGAGCTGCTGCAAGATGGTGAGGGAACCGGGGAAGCTATCCTTCTCCGGGGACTGCTCACGCGCAGTACTGAGGGACACCGGTGCGTTCCGTGGGAGATCCCGGAGTCCTTCCAAACGTACAGAGGGTGGCCACCGAGGGGGTTTTAGTGGGTAAAAACCTCACATAACCCTGTCATGTAAGTTGACAGAGTATCTTTTGAAGATTTCCCCCCGATACCAAAAAAAAAGGTTGGAGAATCAGACAACATCTATTTTTCATCCCCCTAAATGTTAAGGGTGGTCCATCGCAAAAATTTTTTTCTACCCTACAAATAATTTGTATGGCAAAACAACGTTTGCCGAGGTCAGCTAGTATAAATCTAACATTCCGTGTTATTCATTTTAAAAAGCCTTGCTCATTCAGGCGTTATGAAACTAATGACTGCGTACCATACAAATACACCGTGTACATTCATAACGAAAACATTAACACTTGTTTGCTTCTACCGTATCTGGATAAAATCCTTACTAATATTATAAAAGCGAAATTTTGTATGTATAGACGGATGTTTGTTACTTTTTTTACGCAAATACTACTGAATGGATTTTAATGACACGACAACAATATAGCTTATATGTACATCAGAATAACAGATAGGCTAAATTTTATATAAATAAAAATTTAAATAAAAATTTATTTATAATATCTGTCTTTCTGTCTGAATGTTACGCCTTCAGCCTATTCTACGCAGAAGTAGTCGCGGGCAGTATCTAGTTTAAAAAATATTATATAAAAAGTAGTTTTAATAATAAAAATATTTGCATGCTGTTAAAATAGCTAAAGAGGTTAGCTCGACATCGTGACGACAACAAGACCAAAATATTTCTGTGCCTATTTACAATGCAAATAAAGAAATTTGAATTTGAAACGTCTCGAGAACTTCACAACGATCACTTTCACAATGTAATAATTAACTGTGGTGGGGCCAGCAACAGTCTTCGCTGTTGCAGGAATGGGCAGTTCCGTCCAGTGAAGTACCACGACCTTACGGAAGACTGGCGTGAAGTGGAAGTGCTAACACTTCTGGTATCGTCTGGTGAGTGAGATAACCGAAACCCACTTTATTACTACTACGGGTGTTACACACATGGGAGGTGGTTATCACTTAACATCAGATGGTTCGCCAGATGGCTTGCTACGTTCCCACATAAAAAATAAAAACAATAGCAGATGTTTTCTGTAAAACATCCCTAACATTACTTTTATTTTGCTATTAACTCTCTAAATATTCTACTTTAGGATAATATTATCCTATGTTGTGATGACATTTTACAAACATAAAGTTCACGCAGACAAACACCCAGATGCGAAACAACTATATGTGGGTCACACAATAGTTGTCTCGTGTGGGAATCGAACACACGACCCCTGACGCCGAATCATCTTTGAAGTTACAACTGGCAGATCAGCCTCCAAACGCATTTTGTTATCTTACTATATTGTCAAAGTTCTATGTAAAGAGCAAGTTCTCGCTACACGACTCCCAAATTCATTGGTTTGTTTACCTCAGAACTCAGGAGATCAGCCCTCGGTCAATTCTCCCCAATAAATGGTTCCCTTCTTAAAAATATATTAAAACACTTCTGAGGCGAACGCATAATTTTTTTTCTTAAATCTGCTATTTACATATTATATGAATGGTTAAATTTTACGGCCGTGTATTCCATGGCCCACTTTTCTACTAATGTATTAAATTTTATTATTTATGAGTATTCATTTGGAGAACAGTTCTTTTTTTAAATATGATAGTGGATGAACTTGATAGTTAACTTAAAGTATTCGAGAATATAAATATTTGCAAATTAGAAATTTTTGTCACAACCGTCGACGGCGTGTATACCAATATTATCCGAATGTGTTTATTTGTATGTTGTAAATGTATATTGTTTGGTATTTTTTAAACAGTATACGTAAATAAAGAAAAAATGTTTTATTTAATTACAAGTAAAAATAGCATAAGAAACTTATAAACAGTATTAAACGCAACTTTAATACTAATTTACTAAAATCAATCTTTGTTTGAGACTATAAAACAGGTATTTAAACGGTTTAAAATCATAAAAAACTTAATAAAAGTTATAATATGTGCATATAAACAACTCATAGACTTTTGATAGGTTGTTCAATCAAATCAACCCTTTAGTGTTTTAATTTTTAAATTTTGTATCCTTTTTTAAATTAAGTTTTGTATTCTTTTTTAAAATAACACAACCTAAACTTTTCGTTCCAAATTATTCCATCCATCCACCGCCAGTGTCGGAAAAACGTCCGTTTTCGTGGAAACAAAACGACCGTGCGAAAAACAACGGTCCCGAATGCCGCCGTAGCAAAAATTGTTGTTACAAAAACTGCGAACGTTCTTGTCCTCACACAAAGCTCAAAGGGTGTCTGCTCTCTGCTCAAAGCTCTGAGGGAGTTTAAAATAGATTTATTTACGGCAAACGGGGGATGAACATTCCGGAGTGCTAAGTCAACGAGCTACCACAGATCCAATTACGTGCAGCGAGCACAGTGCTCGTACAGTCCGCCGCGACACATACGCGATAAGTTGTTGTCGAATGTGCATCGAGGAATTTCAAACTGTTTACGTTATAATGTATCTTATGTTACTGACCTATTTTACAAGATGGCGCTACTTAAGTCTAAATCACGCTATCGTTTGATTGTTCTTATAGGATATCGCAAACTGATATTTTTATGTAAGTTTCCCAGTCAGATAATAGCTACCGATCGAGCCGAGGTCCGACCCTATCGGGCACCCTCGAATCGCGGAATGCTAAACGCGTTTAGAGTGACAGCTCACAGCCGAGGTCCCCTCTCGGGGAACCTTGATCCTAGTCACTCCGCGATGGAGCACTCCGATGGAGCATCCGCCAAAGCGCCCTAAGAGCTTGGCGGCCTCCCATACTTGTAAAGACAATATCAACTGCGTGACGGCCCGAGTCGAATCGGCTTAGTCACCATAACGTGTAACCGAGGTTTAGGCTAGGTGCTCTGAGCGGCCCAGCCACCTCAAGTCCGGTACATGCAAAGGCCCTTCAGGCCAATACGCCAATAGTGGTTGATCCAGCCAAAAAAAATCAATATTTATAAATATATCTGTTTCGGTCTCGATATATCGAAGAGCTCAATATATAGATATTTTCTTTTTAGGCTTTGTCGTCCAAAAAAAACGTATGTCAAGTATTAAATATTTGAATGTACGGACTTTTTGCCGGATTTGAATTTGAAAAAATATCGTATTTGTTACGATTTCGACATTGAATATTTTATATCGATGTATCGGATCAAAATATATCGGCTAAAAATATTTTATTAAAAATTTTCGTTATACTAACAGACCAGAAAGAACTTTATGGTGGCAGTTGAGGCATTGTGTTCAAACATACAATTATTTCATATAAACAAAAAACTAACTAATTCTTCTTTCTACTATTGTTAATATAAATGTTAACTTTATATAATGCTGTATTGATGTAGGAATCCAGTCATATGCGCGCAAAAGTAAATCAAATATTAAATTTTATAAAACTATATTTTATAATCTGATATTTAACTATATACTATTTAACTATATAGACTATATGAGTATAATACTCATATAGTCCGATGCCATTCTTCGGGCGCCAAAAGTATCAAATAATTTTCTTCTTGCCTAAATTGTCGCTCTAGATGTATCCGTTAAAATTCTACTTTTACGACTGACTTCTAGTAGTCTTTTATGATCGTGCATAACATGAAATAATAATAATATGTAATGGCCTAAATTCTAACAAAACCAGTAATTTCTTAATAAGGCGCACAATTTTATAGATCAGTCCGATATTAAAAAGAAATAAAGACAATTGATCCGTCGCGGTAAGAAGTTTATTCCTATTTAAGTATAAAAGGAAGTAAACATGACCTTTACGATCGGTAAGAAAATTAAGTACATGACTTTTACAGTTCGGCGACCAACATAAAACATTTACTATATTCGTTGTGCGACAAACAGGTATATATGGCATCGTTGACTTCAAAGATCAACAACATATATGGCATTTATAAATACACGGAAAATTCATTGTAATTTACCGAACAGCTTAGATAATTTTCCATTTCTATTAAACGGATAAGTTAAAACCGCAAAACATGAAACTGGCTGGCTGCGTTCCAGATGCCAATTTGAAAATTCCAAGGCTAACTCAAAAGCAATTTTTAACAATGGCTCTTGGCAAAGGCAGGCCTCGCCCAGAGTGGCGCTAAGCATGACCCTCTTGCCAAAAACGCGGACAGTATGGGTTTCATTACGGACCCTACAAAGTGCCGAATTCAACGGCCCGTAATACGTAGTGACCTCCACACTAGTGGACCCTCGTTTTCCTACTAAAATAAGCGTAACTCTCTTGTGCCATAAATGTGTATGTAGATATTCAGTTTTATTTTTTTTCGATATATTTTTGTTTTTTTTTTTTTTTGGAGAAAAGGGGCAAACGAGCAGGAGGCTCACCTGATGGTATTTGGTGGCTGATTACCGCCGCCCACGAACACCTGCAACACCCGAGGGCTCACAAATGCGTTGTCGGCCTTTTAAGAAAGAGTATGCTCTGTTCTTGAAGGTTCCCAGGTCGTAACGGTTCGGAAAGACCGCCGGCGGCAGTTTGTTCCAGAGAGTGGTTGTGCGAGGCAAGAATTGCCTTGAAAATCGAGGTGGTGTGGATGAAATTTTTGAGTTAAAATAGTTAACTAAATAGATCACACATATGGGTAATCTGTAATGTTGAAACAATGCAGTGGTTATACTGCGATACAATAAAATATGTATGGTAAATCGAGGTGGTGTGGATGAAATTTTTGAGTTAAAATAGCTAACTAGATAGATCACACATATGGGTAATCTGTAATGTTAAAACAATGCAGTGGTTATACTGCGATACAATAAAATATGTATGGTAAATCGAGGTGGTGTGGATGAAATTTTTGAGTTAAAATAGTTAACTTGATAGATCACACATATGGGTAATCTGTAATGTTAAAACAATGCAGTGGTTATACTGCGATACAACATAAAATGTATGGTACGCCACTTGAGATGTTTATTCCTTTGTTCCAGTGTTCCCAAATGTTCCTGCGGCGCCCGGTATGCCCTGCGCTGGCGAAGACCGTGAGTACACAATCCCTTCTTACTTACTACCTCCTTCTATCAGTTTAACTTCTATTATGCTAATTTTATTAAGTCAAGTTAATAAAATTAGTTAAAAGAAGTTAAACTGATAGTGATGATTTCTTGCATTTATCTTGGCAAATGCAGCGCAATGCGATAAAAAATGACACGGCTACATAGGATATATGCTACATAGCGTAGTATTGTAATATCGGGCACTATGAAACTTAAAAGCTATAAAATCCGTTTTATTAGGAACGCATGTTTAAAAAAATGATCAATTGCTGTGGGCAAATTATACTTAGAATAAGAAAATATATAAAAGTTGATAGTCGATGACATTTTAAGGTTGAGGATATATACAGCGTGTCGTTACCATTACGACAATAAATGAACACACATATAGGCGATAACTTTTTAAAGTTGTATTAAACATTTAAATTCTTTAAACATCAATATTTACAGAGTTATTGAATTTTCCAAAGAATTTTAGAACACCCTTACCTATAAAAGCGTAACGTAAAGTTCCTTTGTAAAGGTCACAAAGCATATGAATGGGTTGAATGAATTTAAAAGAGACAAAACACACTGTTAGAAGGAGAGGCTTATAATACGACACTGTGGCGCGAGTTGTATAGGATGTTAAAAATTTTGTTCCTTTTTGATTTAATTAGTTTGTTTGAAAAATATTTTTTTTAATTATGGATTTTGTTTAACGTTAATATTTTTTTATGATTATTGGCAAGTAGCGTTAGACGTGTGTTCATTTATTGTCGCCATGGTAACGACACGCTGTATATAGGCCGATTAGCTCAGTTGAACAGTACTGACGTTCTACATGTCGGCGCGTAACCATGTTCAAATTGTGTCAATGCCGATAATCTTCCAACAATTTATTCATTAAACTCGCATTAAAGATTTTGATGTTCAATAAGAGCTAAAGTTAAGCCTAAATAGAATAAAGAAATTTTGATTATGACTTTAAAAGCATTAAGTTATGTTTTATGAAAATAATTTTGGAAAGCTGCCTCGGTTTTCTTCTTAATTATACCGTAAATAAAGGTTTAGGGTTTAATTCCCGCGCTTAATTATATTCCGTTTAAAATACCGTTATATTTATTGACTTCAAATATCTCACTCACTATACATTTAGATGACTCCTTGGAGCATTTACCAAGGTGTTGGCCTCGGCTTCGGATGTCGTGGGTTCGATTCCCACACGGGACGACCATTTGCGTGGCCCATAATTAATTGTTTCGGATCTGGACGTTTGTACGCGAAATTTATGTTCGTAAAATGTCCTTACAACACGGGGTAATGTTATCTTGTTGAAATAAAATCAATAATCTCAATCTCAAATCCCACATTTTCTATTAAATTTTTTTTCTGTTGTGTATCTCCGGACTCCCAGGTCCGCTACTAATGAAATTAGTTTTCGAAGATATAGGAACTAAACGAAATGAAATACAAAAAGTTTTTAAATCTGTTATAAAGAAATTCTGAGGTACTAACAAATATAAAAAAGGTACAACCGTATTGAACTTACTCCTTTTTTGTAGTCGGCTAAAAGACCTGCAGAACTTGCGCAGATACAGAAGCAGAAGTCTTTTGCATGAGTATTTTCTATCCAATGCATTATTTTTTATTCTAAATAAATCTACCGAATCCAGAACACCTATATGAACCTCAACCAAATCTATCATAAAACATGATTAATCCTTACTTCCTTACTAATATTATGAACGCGAAAGGTTGTTTGTATGGATGGATGTTTGTTACTCTTTCACGCAAATACTACTGAATGGCTTTTAATGAAACTTTACAATAATATCGATGACTCCGTGGCGCAGTCGCCAAGGTATTGGCTTCGGCGTCGGGGGTCGTGGGTTCGATTCCCACACGGGACAACTATTTGTGGGACCCACAGATAGTTGTTTCGCATCTGGGTATTTGTCCGCGTGAAATTTATGTTTGTAAAACGGCCCTACAACACAGGATAATGTTATCCTAAAGTAAGGGCAATGTTTTTAAAGAAAAAAAATATAGCTTTATACATCATAATAAGACATAGGCTATAATTCATATACATATTTTATGTATGTCTGGCTTTCTGTCTGAATATTACGCCTTCAGCCTATTCTACGCAGACGTAGTCGCGGGCAGCACCTAGTAATAATTATAATAAGGTTTCAATTCGACGCTTATATTCGACATGTGATACTTTCTGGCACATTTATTTATAATAGTCTTCCGGTGTGTATTACTGTTTTCTTCGTTGCATTATAGTGCTTTTTGTTTATTTTATTCTTTAATTTGGCCAAGGCATTATCCGTGGTGTTTGAAAGCCCTATGCGGGAAACTTCTTTAGCGACGTAAAAATCTGCTGAAAATAATTTTGATATAATACTGTGGATTATTATATCGCAAGTAGATAGTTAAATTTCGTCTTACGCAATAATAGCTCAGAAATGTTTACACTTTAATAGCCCAATAATCCTAATTACTCAAAACTTTCCTTTCCTTGCTAATTAAACTTAAGATCATAACTTAATTGTCTCGAGGATTTATTTAAATTAACTGTAAGTACGAGTACCGTAGGCTCACAACGTTTTAAATACCTCCCAGTCGCATATTAAACGAAATTTAATTGGCACCTCGAAGAGACAATGAAACTACTGTCTGATTTACTGTATCATGTAAAGATTGTATAATCCAATAGTTTTATACAATCTTAATTTTTGTTTTATAATTAATAAAATAAAAATTATCGACGTTCAATGTAGGTCGATTCTTCGTATTCACCTCGTAGAGATTATGGCGCACCGATTGACGAAAATTTCGCCTTAAATCGATAAGATATTGTTCATAAGTGAAAAGATAAGTCGTCAGTAATGTTCGCACCCAACAGTCGATACCATGTCGTAGGTGCAAATGTCTTGCGCGTTGGTTGCCGCCAAATATTTGACAGGTGTGCGTATAATATGTGTGCATGTGTGAGTGTACGTGATGACCCGTGTGCTAGTGTCACTGTATAGTTTCCAGAAATGTGACGGTGTTTCGCAAAAATCACAGCATTCCATTCGTGAAATTACAACAAATGAAATTAATTTTGTTTGTTTTCTCTCGAATACGATTCATGTAATATGGTAGATGGTACGGTGCCATATGTTTTACTATCTTATGGTATTAGGGCTTGGGTAATCCCAACAATTCTAAAGTCTCGGGAATTCACGGGACTTCAAATCTTTCAAGAAAAAAAATTTTTTTAATGGGGTTGAAATCAACATCTATTGATCAGGAAATTAAATCTTAATAACTTCAACGTTAATAGCCGTTGACACCGTTAACCTACAGCGGCGCTGTAAATTAAACAATACTTCACAGAGACAATGCGGCGCATGGCTGCGCTGCGCGTCTCGCGAACGGTTAATTAAATTCAAAACGAAATATCACCGTCATAACAAACCACTCGTCGGGGCAATTCAAGGGAGCAATTAACGCTTCGTTAAAGTATATTGTGTTTGTACTGCTACGTTGGTACGGCGTACTGTATTGTATTTACTCGGTGACCCAATTTTCAACCGAGCCCATTTGCGCGAGGATTGAAATGCCTACAGTAGGTATCGCCCGCGCTGCCCATCTTATGAAGAGTTTGTCGTGAGTTTGTCCTCTTGTTGAAGCGCGGTAAATCTCCGTCCGTCCTCCGTGTTGATATATAAAGTTACACACGAAAGTTTTATAACAAATGTATCAAATAAGTGCAAAAATTGGTCACATAATCCACTTTTTTTTGTCTGTTAAGTTAAATTTCGACACATTATGTTGAGTGATAGAAACCTTGACAAAGTAGACGAGAAATGAGGAAAAACTTTATCTTAACTATTCACGGCCGTAGCTAGGGGGGGGGGGGGGGGGGGGCATTGTAGGGCAATGCCCTACCTTAAAATCACAATGCCCTACCTTAAAATACCAAAATAAAAATGCGTAAATATCACCACGTTTTTCAATTTCGTACACGTCTCAAGTGATTTCCCATCCTACTTCGCCGGAATTTGTATATTCTTTCTATGTTGTACCTACTGTGTTCTATTTCATGTTTCTACTCCACTTTATTTAAAGGAGAAATTTGAATTTGTAGGGCTTCTAGGGGAAGATCCTACCTTCTTCGAGGAAAGTCATTTTTAAGGTGCCAAACCACTAAACGTAATTTTTTGAAAAATCTTTTACCGTACAGGCTGTTAAACTCTACTACTGCATTATACACTATACTATTGCACAACCTACGTAGTAAAGTTCTTTTACGCCATTGGTTGCCTGGAAGAGATCGCTATGAAGTGATACGGCCGCCAAATTGTGAATTCCATTAATTTGTTTGTCTATTGTTAATTGTGTATCCTCTTTTGTGTGGTGGACAATAAAGTATTCATTCATTTATTCATTCAAAAACTAAAATACATTATTGTAATAAAAATTGGAGCGATAGCTATCTCAACTTTTCCGAACATACCACAGTTTGTCAAAATCATAATAATTTATTTATGGACTTAGGAAACATACATTTCATCTATCGATAGTATTTTTTTAACCTACCACCGTTTCATCATGAGGTTCCTCTAACGGAAAAGAAGCAGGCGAAAGAAACTCCGCAGGTATCCTCTTATTCGCAATTTTTTTCTTAAAAAATTAAAATATTATACAACTGTTTTTTTTACTTTCTTTTAGAAATAGCTTGGGTGCGATCAACTCATTACCAGTGTGTGACATTCATTTAATATTCTAATAATTCTTTGTTCTGTGTACTCGTATAAAAAAAGTACCTGGAGGACCGAGCTTTGCTCGGTTTTTTTGGTAAATAATGTATTTTGGAAATAAAAAAAAATAAAGAAAGCAATGATCAGGTATAGAAAAAAAGTAAAAAAAATAAGTGTGTGATCGTGATACGAACCGCGGCCGTCTGTTTTGGGGCCGCCCGATTACCGACCGAGCTATTATAAAAATTTTTTTTGCGGCGAAATTTACCGTCATATTCGAATGATATTTTTCATTCCCTGAAAACAGGGATAAAAGGACATTTTCTAAATATGAACCATCTAGATCGATGCTTCGCCCTCGAATCTACGCACATACTAAATTTCATGAAAATCGCTGGAGCCGTTTCCGAGATTCCGATTATATATATATATATATATATATATATATATATATAAGAATTGCTCGTTTATAGGGTAAAATAATAATAAAATAGGCATTTGAATGATGATGATCTAATCCGTTCGATTGCAAGTCTCGATGAGTTGGATGTAGATAAAATGCTTCCACTGAAAAGTTTGGGTAAGTTTAAAAAATTTAATAATTCAAGTAGGCTAGTGTGGTTAAAGTTTACTTGAGTCGTAACGAGGACAAAATGGAAAATACATTGCAAGTGTTGTACAGGCAACGAGAGGCGTTTAAAGATACATATAAACTTTTTGCATCTGTGGCGACCATAGGATGTAGCACTGCAGTGTGCGAATCTACGTTTTCAAGTTTAACTGCAATTAATAGGCCTCAAAGGCTGTCAATGGGTCACGAGAGAATGGCTGGTATGGTATTACTGGCCTTTGGTAAAAAAAGGACAAAATCAGTTAATCTGAACGTAGTTATTCGCATTTTTAATAACATGGCGAATCGAAGAATTCAGCTGTTTTAAATATTTTTATTATTATGCTAGGTCTGCAGAAACAATTTGATATAAGTGGTATTTTTGGTCGTATCATCTCATCCAAAAATTAATTATTACCTCACTCTCACTCAGACGTGGATCTCTACATCCAAAGTTGGAAGTTCAACCATCTTGTTCGCTTATTCTTCATCATTAAGGATTTAATAGTGCTTATATCCATACTCATGTTCTGTCACAGAAATTATTTGTCTACGAATAGCTATTGAACTGACCTAGAGGTCAGTGATATACATGATGATTGATTTAGGAGCTCATGCTAGTTGGGGCAAATATCCCTTTATGGCCAACCGCTCCCCTGGTAGAAAAAGGTCAAATACTTAGGAGTCACATTCGACTCGCGTATGTCATTTACTACGCACATTAATAACGTTCGTAATAGAGCCGCGTTCGTCTCCGGCCGGCTACACAATTTAACTAACGCTAAAAGTAAAATGCCCTTAAGGCACAAATTATTATTATATAAGACCTGCGTACGATCTATTATGTCCTACGCATGCATGACCTTCGCCCACACTTGTACAAGTTGCAAATAGTACAAAATAAGTTCATCCGCCGAGCAACCGGTGCGCAGTGGTATCAACGCAACGTCGACCTGCACAGCGATTGCAAACTCCCGAAGATTCGCGAATATTTTAAAGACCTGACCAAACGGTTCTTCGATAGAGCCGAACATCATCCCAACCCTCTGGTGGTAAGCGCAGCAAATTACCAACCCGACACAAACGCGAACGTCAACAAGCGTCGCCCGCGAAACGTCCTCATCGACCCGAGCGACGAAGAGGACTTAGAAACGATGGACCCACCGCTGGGGGTCCCGCCGGATAACACTACTCCCACAGTTAGTGCAACAACAAACACTCTAGTTCGCCCTCGCCTCCGAGCACGGCGAGACCAACACAACGCGTACACAAGGTACACCCGCGTTCCGGGGCGGTTCTCACCGCTCCCAGCCACCGATTAGCTAAATGCACAGTCGACGGCCATCGGGGTTTCGGTCCGAACTGCGACCTCGATGGCCCTTAGATAACACACCATACTTAAACGCACGCATGAGCACATGCGTGGCCCTACCCACAGCGGAGGGCCCAAACCCGTGGGTTCTGGCTAGCCCACCGGTTCTGCGTCAGATGAAGCTTTAATAGTCTCGGGGCTGAAAGTAAAAACATCAGTTAATACAAGATACAAGAAGGAGCTCATGCTTCGAGGGCAAATCAATTATGATAAATTTAATTTAATTGTTTAATTTCGCCCTACCTGTAATCAATGCTGCCCTACCTCAAATTGAACTCTAGCTACAGCCCTGTAACTATTTATTGTTTCATTTACTTTAGTATATGAAATACCCGACATAAACTTTCTCATTCGACACCACACCACAAAGTTAAAGGTCGTAAAACTCAATTAGAATCTTTTGGGATGAGGTGTGCGTAACGAATAAGTAACAAACTCTGCTGATAAATTTGTTTAAGATTTCCTTTTACGTGCATTTTAAATATTACTGCTCATTCTAGTAATCAATGACATAATAGTTGAATAGCAAATCAGTCAGCTATCCCGGTATACCATATCTCTGGTAGTATAGTACCATATCTCTGCTAGTAATAGGTAAATCTCATCGTATTCGAACCGTTCAATTACAAATTTAGGCGAAGACACTTGTTCATCGAACATAGTATACCTATATCACAAATATGAACATTATTGATGTACCGAATTTCTTACTTCTGTTCTGATTTTTCGAATCGAACGTTGATTACAACAAACATCAGAGATTTGATATTGACTTTGGTTGTAATAATATTACAGGAAGCATATACAGGAGAGGCGCGAGACGATGGAGAAAACTATACCGCGTCAATGGCCACATCTTCCAGGCGAAACGCTTCAATAGGGTATGTACTTATATATAAATATTATGTCATATGTATGCAAGTTGAAACTTTCTGTCGATTCAGCTTCGGCTGTAGCACAAATAGGCAGCGACCCAACAGAAGACCGCCGTGAAGAGGAAGTGTCATACTTCCGCGTTTCGTCTGGGTCCCAATTCATTATAAGGTGGCAACGCATGTGCCACCCTACGGGAGTTATAAAATCACATAGGCGGTGGTTTAACTTGACATCAGGTGAACCGCCAACTCGCCTGCCACCATATAACATAAAATGGAAAAACAATTGTTTTAAAGCAATGGTTACTTAGTCTCCGGGACATCACTTTGAATATATTTTTATATTTCATGAACGTTTATAATGTCATAGATAAAAGTTCTGAAAACATAGAACGATATTAAAACACTTTCGAAATTATGTATGCCCATAAATGTGGATTTCATTTACATTATACCAGATTTTGACTGTTCAATATTTCGAAGCGTATCTTTTACTACCTGGTTTGTAGTGTTTTAAGTGGTAAACGCATTAGAGCTCTCTCTATTAGAGCTCTGTTAAAACATGCATTCTTGCCCTGAAAGACTCCCATTGGACTGGGAAAATTTTCATCACCGAAATCTATGTGACTTTAATGCAATTTCAGTATTCCTTACTGATGGTGGCTTTATTGTTTTGATTTTAGAGGGCGTTTTGCGCCTTCTGCCAGGACCGCATCTGGGGTCTCGGGCGGCAGGGCTTCAAGTGCATCCAGTGCAAGCTGCTCGTGCACAAGAAGTGCCACAAGCTGGTGCAGAAGCCGTGCTCCAACGAGCACGTGGACCCGGTCGAGGTCAAGGAGGACGCGAACGGCGAGAGTACCCTGGGTAGGGTTTCCTCCGTCAGGTAAGCGTACTAATTTAGTCCTCTCGCGGTATACCTTTTAAGGGGAGAAGTTATTGCCAGTACTCTAGCGCTTTTTAAAAGGTGGTCTCAGATAGCGGTTAATTATGCGGAATGACGCGATTAAGAGTGACATTGTTTCATTGAAATCATTAGACGCTCCGCGCTCCAATGTCCAAGTTTGATTGTTTCGTAACGTAGAAAAAAAAATGTTTAAAAATGTTGCTACCATATCAGCTCGTAATAATTCAAGTATGCCTTGTTAGGCAACTGATTTTCACAGACAGAAACCGTATGCTGTTAGTTTTATAATTATTGTAAAACAACTTCTATCAGTGATAGGGCCATTCAACAGTTCCGTTCCGTTATTTCACCAATGGGTAGGCTGGTCCGGGGAAGTACCACGACCTCACAGTAGACCAGAGTGAGGTGATAGTATATAGTAAACATAATACTTTCGCTTTTCGTCTGGTGAGTGAGACAACCAAGCCTCGCTTTTTTTCAAAGCCGCCAACACATTTGCAAACACTCATTATTTTTAATTCAATATTCTCGAGCAACCTGAGCTCGATCCCCGTCAATTTTTTTAATTCAATATTCTCGAGCAACCTGAGTTCGATCCCCGGTGCGGGAATTTAAGTGCTGACTTATCACGTGCTCATCGTTGAAGGAAATCATCTTGAAAACCTGCATATTATCGAAATAGTAACAAAAAAAAATAGTTCGAAGATTTGCGAAGTCCGCCAATCCGCGCTGGTGTCGCATGTTGGACTATGCCCTAATACCCTCTGTACGGAGGAGGCCTTCGCCCAGCAGTGGACCATAAAGGCTGTTAATTTAGTGTGGCATTCGGCAATTCAGGTCGCGTGCAGAGCCCGAGCCACTGCCGGAAACACCGCCGGCCCCAGCGCCGGCGCGCGCCGAAGATTTGGAGCCCGGCTCTCAGCGCCAGTACTCGCTCGAGGACTTCGAGCTGATACGCGTCATCGGGCGGGGTTCTTACGCCAAGGTAAGCTCGCCAAAGTACGTATACTGCATACACAATTATACTGTGATAGGGCCACGCAACAGCCTTCGGAGTTGCACGGAAGTACCACGACTACCCGCATCTCGGCGTAAAGTGAAAGTGTTATAAATACTTCACAGTTTAGTCTGGTGATTGAGTTCACCGGGGGACACTTTATTAAAAGGTAACCTAAAAGGTAAAAGATACCTGCAACCCTTTTTGTTTTTTGTTAACTCAAACTAAAACCGCCACGATTACAGCCTCAATACAGACACACGTATTGAGGCTGTAATCGTAGGGGTTTTACCTTGCAGGCTCTCAACCTTAATGAAACTCAATTCGCGCAATCTCGCAGGTGCTAATGGTCGAGCTGAAGCGGACCAAGCGCGTGTACGCGATGAAGGTGATCAAGAAGGCGCTGGTGACGGACGACGAGGACATCGACTGGGTGCAGACGGAGAAGCACGTGTTCGAGACCGCCTCGAACCACCCGTTCCTGGTGGGGCTGCACTCTTGCTTCCAGACGCCGAGCAGGCTGTTCTTCGTGATCGAGTTCGTGCGCGGCGGCGATCTAATGTGAGCCCGTTCGGTCTTTGAGGACTTGTACCGCGGCGTGTGAGTGGTAGAGGGCGCGCGAGTGTACGTGAGTGCATATGAGATTGAGCTTCAACAGAGGTTTATTGTACACTTTTACCAGGTCGTGTGAGAGTCCTGGGGGGCGTGTGAGTGTACATGAGTGCATGTGAGTTTCAACGGAGACGTCGGAGGCGTAAGGGGGTTTATCGTACAGTTTAAGCCGAGCGTGTGAGATTACTAGAGGGCGCATGAGTGTACATGAGTGCATGTGAACTTCAACACAGGCGTATTGTACGCTTTTACCAGGGCGCGTGAGTGTACATTAGTGCGTGTGAGTTTCAACGGAGACGCCGGTGGCGTGTGGCGGCTTATTGTATACTTGTACATTGTGTGAGAGTAATGGAGGGCGCGAGGGTGCATATGAATGCATGTGAGTTTCAACAAAGGCATCGCAGGCGTAGGTCGGCTTATTGTACATTCGGCTACATACATAAGTAAACTTCCAATTAAACTGGACAATATATTTAAACTTTCCTTTGACGGGCATCACGATGCACTTGGTACACTTTAGTATACAATCACGAATGTTCAATGAACACTCTAGCATACAGTTGCGAATGTGCAAACTCACCGCTAGCATACGGTTGTGACTGTACAAAAGCCACCGCCGGCATATGCCTACGACTGTAATGGGGTGGCTCTAGGCATACTGTCGCGACGGTATGACGCTATCAACAGTTTTCAATGCCATCGTCACATGACAACAATTTAGCATACAATACTGACTGCACAAAGTCGCCGAATCGGATCGCATATCGCGATTGCGACTGCAATGGCTCTGGGAATACTATTGGACTGTATAACGCTACCAACGGTGTATCAATGATGACCGTCGGGCGACCTCACTTTAGCATACAATCGTGACTGCACAAACTCCGCAAGACAACGCTTAAGCATACAATCGTGACCGCACAAAGCCCACGAGACAAAATTTAAGCATACAGTCTTGTCTGGACAAAGTCGCCCATTTGATCGGCCCGTGTCCAGGTTCCACATGCAGCGGCAGCGGCGGCTGCCCGAAGAGCACGCGCGCTTCTACGCGGCGGAGATCTCCCTCGCGCTCCACTTTCTCCACGAGCGGGGCGTCATCTACCGCGACCTGAAACTGGACAACGTGCTGCTGGACCACGAGGGCCACATCAAGCTCACCGACTACGGAATGTGCAAGGTACGGCGATTGGTCCAAACGGTCAATGACCTTTCCCGCTGCCAGGCGTCAAGAACATTTTCGAACATTAACTATTAAATGCTTTTAACTATTACTAATTTTACAGCGTTAAGCTGTTCGATGGGAACAGTTCAGTAGAGATTGATAATAAAAATATGATTTAAAATATATTATGAGTGATACAATAATGCTTAAAAAGGAAAAAATCTGAAGTAATCTTAAACAAACTATATTAATAGTGCAAACTAAACCGTAACACATCATCTTGACATTCGTAAATAATAATTTGACACGTCAAAAATAAATAAAAGCCAATTCGTCAACTATCGCACATCACTATTATTTAACGCTCAGTTCCGCATTAAATACCTTCATTGGCATTCATTAATATATTGGCTTGATTTTTGAAGCAATTCAGGAATACACACTGGCACATATTTCAATTCTCACGACTGCCGCCTATCTAAACACGCATTAAACACGATTGTCGACTAGTTGACTAAACGCTTACGCTGACCAGGGCCGGGGCAACGAATGAGTGGAGGCCTCTTGGCCCCAAATTAAATGAACAATTTTTTTTCAGTCGAGTTTTCCAATAAATAATTTATTGTGAAACCAAGTATAGATACTTTTATTATTTAACGAATATATAAACATAATCGGAAACGAGAATTATGAAAAAAAAATGAAAGGAAAAGTTGTTTACTAATGTTTACTAGTCTCTATCGTGGCGGCCCCTCGTTCGTGGAGGCCCCGGGGCTGTAGTCCCGCTCGCCCTCCCCAAATCCGACCCTGACGCTGTATTAAAACACGCGTACACCTGGCGACGCAGGAGGGCGTGCGCCCCGGCGACACGACGTCCACGTTCTGCGGCACGCCGAACTACATCGCGCCGGAGATCCTGCGTGGCGAGGAGTACGGCTTCTCGGTGGACTGGTGGGCGCTGGGCGTGCTCACGTACGAGATGCTCGCCGGCCGCTCGCCGTTCGACATCGCGCAGGCGGCCGACAACCCGGACCAGAACACGGAGGACTACCTGTTCCAGGTGCGCCCCTGGGGATGAGGGAGACGGAGATATCATTTGCGTTTTCGTTCGCGATTCGCGTTGTGGAGCACCGACCCGCCCAGGTGCGAGTCGGTGGCGCGCGAAGGTTTCCGCACCATTGTGTATTGAGATTGCAAAAAATCGTGTCTTTCGTATGGGAGCCTCACTTAAATGTTTTTTATTCCGACTTTTAGTATTTGTTTCTTATAGCGGCAACAGAAATAAGTACATCATGTATGAAAATTTCAACTGACCAACTATCATGGTTCATGAGATTCAGCCTGGTGAAAGACGGATAGACAGGCAGACAGCGGAGTCTTAGTGATAGGTTCCGTACCCAAAGGGTAACCCCCGTTTTACCCTTTGGGTACGGAACCTTAAAAACGGAAAAAGAGACGACGAGTCTGTAGAGAAAATTTTCTAATGTTAAAGAAATATAAAATAAAAAACACTGGGACGAAGTTACGCGTACATACAATTCATACAGTCGCCATCTATTGTCTACGTAGCAACTTCATAGACGTTCGGAGTCTTAGTAATAGGGTTCCGTTTTGTCTTTTAGGTAGTCTGTAGAATGTTAAAGAAAAAAATAAATAAAAAAACACACAGCGACGAAGTTACACGTACATACAGTTCATACGGCCAGTCCCGTCCTAATTCTCCCGCCCCATTCGCAGGTGATCCTGGAGAAGACGATCCGCATACCGCGCTCCCTGTCGGTGAAGGCGGCCTCCGTGCTGAAGGGCTTCCTGAACAAGAACCCAGTGGAGCGGCTGGGCTGCGGGGAGGGCGGATTCCTGGACATCGTCAACCACCCCTTCTTCAAGAGCATCGAGTGGGAGATGGTGAGCTTCCTCGGCCCATTTCACCGTCTAAGAACTGTTTGTTTGTGTTGCAGATAATAAACGTATCTTGGTTCTATTGGTTTTCTTGAAAGAGGTAATTGGCGTGTGCAAGATTTGGAAGTTCTGTGTGTATAAAATGTATGCACAGTTCGTTAGGCTAAATTGTTAGGTCGTAATCGATCTCCGAATTATAAGCATTAAAATCTGCATAAGGTAAATACCATACTTCGTGTGTGCAGCACACAATCGACTGGCGCGTGTATATGACCCTTATTACTAGTGACAAAAGTCGATTTTCCTTCGGCAGCTGGAGCAGAAGCAGGTGGTGCCGCCGTTCAAGCCGCGGCTGGAGGGCGAACGCGACTTGGCCAACTTCCCACCCGAGTTCACCGACGAGCCAGTCCACTTGACACCCGACAACGAGTGAGTCACTCACATCTTGTACCGAGTCACTCACATCCATTACTGAGTCACTAACATCCACTACTGAGCCACTCACTTCCGTTACTGAGCCACTCATGGCCTACTCGAAATTTTAATTTGCTATTACTATCACAAAGTAATGAACCAAACCTCCTTGGATATTTTATATAATTTTTATAACGTGGTGTTTTTACGTGAACTATTACCGCCGCCCATTTGCAACACCCGTAGCATTACTGATACGTCGCAACCTTTTATCAAAGTGGGCCCCGGCTACCTCACTCACCTTCAGACGAAACGCAGAAGTATATAACACTGCCGATCTTTTGTGAGGTCGCCGTATTTCACCAGACGACCCTTGCAATTCGTGCATCGTAGGGATAAAATTGTGTTACGACTCCGTGAAACTACATTTTACGGACTTAATTTTAATTACCGACGTCGCGAACACATCGCAATATTCACTTAGTCAAAGAACTTAAAGAAGATAAAAATAGTTCATGAATTTTCTTCCAGATATTTTATTTTTATAGTAACTAACTTAATTTCACGTATGCAAAATTAAAGTTTAAATTAGTTGTTTGTATTTTATTTATTTATTCTTTATTTGCAAATCTTAAATAAGGATTACAAAGGGCGACTTAATGGTTATTGACATTCTCTCCACGTCAACCCTCAATTATACAACTGTGCGTATATTACAAAAACCGAAACAAAACCAAAGAGCATCATACCTAACACGTAGACGAGCGTTACATTATTTTGGTCACCGTATATGCATAACGAACACTGTTTACGTGCTATATCCATCTTTAGTTTAGTTTTTCCTTTCCTTTAATTCTATATTTAAGCAGTTCGACTAATTATCACTGTCTTTTTCTTGTAATCAAAGTTTCAACACAGAGCAATATGACTTGACCTGTGTCCGCTCCGTCCCCAGTACGGTGATAGCGGACATCGACCAGTCGGAGTTCGAGGGCTTCGAGTACGTGAACCCGCTCCTGATGTCGCTCGAGGACTGCGTGTGACGACACGCCTGCCGTCTGCACCCCTACCACGACCCCGCGCAGGTGCCTCTCGATCCATTCATTCACTCATTCGTTCACCCATTCATCCACTCCTTCATTCACTCATTCATTTATCACTATCAGTTCCAAGCTCATTTCTTAGTCCCTCGTACCTAATACATACCCGTGGCGTACGCTCCCAACTTATTCCCTCATTCATTCATTGTTTAAAGATCATCATTCAGTCCCTCGTTCCTAATACAACCGTGTTAGGCCGTACTCGACTTAAGAAGTCTTACAATCAATTTAGTACATAAATTATTCATATCTTTCAGAACCAACCGACCAACGGACTTTTTCACCATTTCAGTTCTTTATTCACTATTCACTAGTTTATGCACTAATTATTGAACATTCACACAGACGCGCTCACTAAGACCATGCGTAGGTGCCACACCCACTTCCCACTTCGGAAACAATTCGTTCATCAAATATCGTTCATAATTAGCACATTCATCAATCTTTCATGCACCACTCCACCGACAATCAGTCTTCGTTCATATATAAATCGTTAATAATTTGCCCGGCTTGCCTCACAATGATACAACGGCGTTTTTTTTTATTCTTTTTACATTAAGTTGGAAATAAAAATTATTATGGCGCTGGATACACATTATACATTGAGGTTTCAACTGCAACCTTACATTGAATGAGATGCCAAGCTCAAAATAGCCAGTCCGTTTCATGCGAAGCTACGCAAATCTACGAGAAGCTACGAGCGCTACACCGTTCGATACATGCAGGCCTACGGCTACGGCGCGGAGTCGTCGTCCTCGGACTACGACTCCGTGTGCTCGGAGCTGCCGGCGCGCAAGCCCACGCTGCTGCAGCACATGTTCTGCCTGCCGCTCAACTGACGCCGGCGCCGCGCCCACGCCCACGCCCACGCCGACGACCCGGCCCACGCCCACGCCCACGCCCGGTCCCACGCGCACACGTGAGCGCGCGCCGCCGCGTCTCATCGCAACCGGTGCTCAAACGTTGCTTTCTTCTCGTTGTACTTTTTTTGTAATACTTTCTTTGCGACTTTGGCTGGAGACTTTCGAAGTGTCGAGCTGTCATTTTGACAGCTATCAAATAGCATTATCCGGAACCAAGGGCTTCTCGATTGAGGCCAAACGGTGTGCACGTGTGATTGATATTGTCAGTTCGAATGTTTTGCGTCATATTGTATCGATTTTGAAAAAAGGTAAATGTCTCGCACTGATGTAGCTTTTGTTTATATTCACCGCAGAAAAAATAATTAATTGTCGATATCGCGCAATACTTATTGTTTCGATGTTTATATGTTGACACATGAATCACTTTGTAAATTCAAATATTTGGCAAAAAATATAATAGTAATATTAAAAGCGATGGGTGAAAAATTTAAATAGCGTGAGGCAATGCAGTATGAGGGTGCACAAATGACGGAAAAATTAATTGTATAATAAATGCAAAAGGGCATTGTATGTAATATCTAAAGCACTATCGTGTTATAAAATTAAAAAACATGCACCCTTTCCTATGTAGAATAAAGTTAGGAACTTCATAAATCTCCCGAAATCTATATTCGGGCCATAACGCGCTTTGAATGTAAATAATTGAGAGAAAAAAAGTATTATTGAAATAATCGTCAATAAATTATACGAGAAATGTTATAAGATTTAATATTTTTGAATCTATTGTAGTGTCTATTCCTTATGGAAGAAAGGTACGTTAAGCTGAGGGGCGGGAGGAAATTTTTCTTCTAATATGGCAACACCAATGTATCAAGTACAAGAATTTTATTATATTTTAATGCTGTTAACAGCTTTAAAACTGTTTGTTAAATTTTCAAAAATTTCTTTCTTTCATTTCATTATTCACAATTTAATTCAAAACAACCTATCCTTCTTTTGTGCTTGTTAAATAATGTAGCATCGGTGTTGCCATATTTAAAATGGGTGATTGTCATGTAAAGGTGTTTGTGAGGGTTATTATTTCGGAACAATAAACATTTTCGCCGTAGTAGTTTTTGGAAGGCGGATGCACGGGAGGCAAGCGTGGTAAATTGAAGCTATTGAGGGAACGAACAGCGCTTTTGCATCTTGCCGTATATAGAAGCCCTTAACCTCGATTAGTGTAACCTAGACGTAGAAACATGCCAGTGTTGTCGCTACGATGTCGACTTGCTTGCGGCGTGGCATTGGCGCCCTCTATCGATAGATTATTATCAATAATACTGTATTTTATATATTCCTTCGAATGATGCATGTATACTCACTATTTCTCGCCATTTATGCCACGTTGCGATGCGTTATTTTTTTTTTTTTTAAATGTACATTTATCGGAATACAAATCATCGTGTTTTCAACTCTAAAAATTATTCCCTTCCCGGACCTATAGGCATATATCAACCGCTAGAATAGTACCATGTTATAAATCACCTCCTTATGTATAACGTTAAATGTAGCTATAAATATATTCCATTTCCAATCGTAGGCCCTCTTGTCCTTCTTAGCTGTACATCACACTCTTAGGTAGCCAACGAATTTTATTATAAATAATAAAATTATACTATAAAGAGCACTGAAAAACAAATTTGAAATCGTTGTATATTGTAAGAATATGTAAAACGTTAAAGTACTTTGACTATCGGATGTTGATACGGGTCATTGTTACCGGTAGAAGGGGAAGTATGTAAAAGGATTTCGGCGACCGATAACGGAGCTCGGGTGTCCACAAACTATTCTGAATAGCGTGTAGTGACTCTTAGACGTTTTGCACCGATATTATATTAGTTATGATACACGCGTAATATATATACAATTCTGTTGGTACTTCCTTGGCGGGATGGCTTTGGAAAAGGAATTGGCGTCTCGCATACACCTAAAAAGGGAACTGGACTTATTTCTTATGTCGTATTTATATGTTGACCCTCCTATGCATGCGTTTTTAATTTCTTAATTTTAACTTTGTATCAAACTTCACGAGTACGATGTCCCGTGCTATGTTGTATTTTTTAAATTTTTTCGTCAGGGTTTCGTCATTTTGTTCCGGTGTCACGTAAGTTATGATTCGTGCGATCGTTTATATGACGAGTACGCATCAGTTGTTTTATAAACGTAGCTTGTTAAACGCACCACATTTTATCTGAACTGTTTAATATAATCATTTGTTTGTTTGAACGAATGTTAATGTTGAGCTCGAGCTGTGGTTTTTGTGCGTCACTGTCTGCGCGGGTCATATTTAATTTAAGTATTTAATTTAGTAGTTTGGTACTATTTAGTATTAACACTAGTTGATAGTTAACATTCCATTGTATCGGTACACAATTGCGTCGACACATACAATGTATTGTCTACAAATACAAGCATCACAGTTTCTACATGTCGAAGGATAACATCCTTGTCGAACTGTTTTAATTTATGAAGTAATAGAGAATTTATAGTAAGGGTATGTTTGTATTTTTTTTGTACTTTGAACATTAAAACGTGTAAAATCCATATAACTCAGTACATTTCTACACGTCAGAAAGGTATTGTTTTCTACATAAACGTTGTATTATTTCCAATCTCAGTGGCAAACGCAATTATACACCAAAAAGCAATTATGTAAAAAAGGCACTACTACTAACTGCATGACAACTGACATTTAACATTTAATTATTACTAACTGTAAGCGGAATTGTTACTTGTAAGATGTTATTCGCAACATAGAACAAAATGTATCCTAGATAAGTACTTTTAAGTTTGATTGCATGCGAACTCTTGATTTCCTTGTGATGAGCAACAAAATATGTATGTATCTACAAGATGATTTGTTTAAGTATGTTTCATTTAATTAACGGCTGTATTATACTTGTGTATGTTGAGACCACAAAGGAGCATCGCAAACTGCTTGGTGCGAGATCGCTACTTATTGTCATATTAGACTGGAGAAATTGAGGTACTGTACTATTCTATGCTTAAATGAAAATAAAGAAAGAATAATCTGATTTTGTTTGATTTATTTATTAACCGTAAATAAGTTTTATACGTATTCTTTTATTATTTAGATGTTATATTATAAAAATTAGTAAAAAATATTTTCGTCTGATGTTAAAACACAAAATTAAAAAACTTCGTGTTTTAGCTAAATACTTGTAAAAAAGATAAGATTAATTTCGCATGAAATCAGTTCCATTTTATGATGACAAATGATTCAATCTGTGACAGGACTGCTTATTTCGTTCACACGACGGAATATCCGGTTACCTAGAACGAAGCGAGTTGTGTTGTACACGAATTAAACACGCGAGCTAATTAAACGTATTGTAGATTTTATGTATCGTAATTTATATTATAAACTTTGAAATTTAAGTTTTGTTTTACAGTTTACAGTCGCGACAATGATTGTTACATCACAAAAAGTCAATAAGAAACGTTTTTATTTACAAACAATTCATACTTTATTTTGGTAGTCCGGACAAAAAAGACATTCAACATTACAACAACTCGCATAGAGGTCAAAATTCGGAAAAACTTAATTACAAATGTGGGATCACATGTGCAATAACTTTTCTAATTCTTTGCCATTTTGGAATTAGTAAAAAAAGCTTTGTTTTGTAACTCAAATTATCGTTTTAGATATGTTAATAATTTCTTAAGATTTCAGAGTAAAGTAAAAGACCAATTCCTTTTTTTATTATTTATTAACCACAAATTCATAAAATACATTGAGCCAAAGTGCTTTCTACTGGCGTTGGACACAATGATTTTTATAATTCTTTCATTTGACATAAAATAGAATTATATCTAACAATTACTTATGATTATTAATCGATACACAAAAAATGGAGCCTTGCTCATTATAATCAAGCAATGAAGTATTTATAAAGAATAACTCTAAAATAATAAAGGTTGTAAATGCATCACAAAAAAGAAAAAACTAATACAACGTCAACTTTAATGCTGTTTTTAACTCGCTATTTTAATAACGACCACAAATTTAAATATCTTTAATGTTTAAACGAACACAAACTATTCAAATATGTAGAAAAAGTGCGAAAAGATTGTCGCCGCTGTGGGAATCGAACCCACGTCTTCGGCATTCGCGGCCTGACGCTCTAGCCACTGAGCTAAACGGCTGATGACCACACCGACGAAAATCTTAACGCATTGTTCTACATTGTTTTCTTAGCATTTGAAGCAATGCTTGGCGCCATCTATTGTTATATCCTTTCCAGCATACAAACAATTTCGAATATCGTTTTACAACGATAATTCGAACGAGAGATGTCGCCATTGCTTTTTTAGAAATTTAAATTGTTTATAGTGCTAATCTTGCACTTAAGATTGAACATTCAAAATATGTAGAAAAAGTGCGAAAAGATTGTCGCCGCTGTGGGAATCGAACCCACGTCTTCGGCATTCGCGGCCTTACGCTCTAGCCACTGAGCTAAACGGCTGATGACCACACCGACGAAAATCTTAACGCATTGTTCTACATTGTTTTCTTAGCATTTGAAGCAATGCTTGGCGCCATCTATTGTTATATCCTTTCCAGCATACAAACAACTTCGAATATCGTTTTTTACAACGATAATTCGAACGAGAGATGTCGCCATTGCTTTTTTAGAAATTTAAATTGTTTATAGTGCTAATCTTTGCACTTAAGATTGAACATTCAAATATGTAGAAAAAGTGCGAAAAGATTGTCGCCGCTGTGGGAATCGAACCCACGTCTTCGGCATTCGCGGCCTGACGCTCTAGCCACTGAGCTAAACGGCTGATGACCACACCGACGAAAATCTTAACGCATTGTTCTACATTGTTTTCTTAGCATTTGAAGCAATGCTTGGCGCCATCTATTGTTATATCCTTTCCAGCATACAAACAATTTCGAATATCGTTTTACAACGATAATTCGAACGAGAGATGTCGCCATTGCTTTTTTAGAAATTTAAATTGTTTATAGTGCTAATCTTTGCACTTAAGATTGAACATTCAAATATGTAGAAAAAGTGCGAAAAGATTGTCGCCGCTGTGGGAATCGAACCCACGTCTTCGGCATTCGCGGCCTGACGCTCTAGCCACTGAGCTAAACGGCTGATGACCACACCGAAAATCTTAACGCATTGTTCTACATTGTTTTCTTAGCATTTGAAGCAATGCTTGGCGCCATCTATTGTTATATCCTTTCCAGCATACAAACAATTTCGAATATCGTTTTACAACGATAATTCGAACGAGAGATGTCGCCATTGCTTTTTTAGAAATTTAAATTGTTTATAGTGCTAATCTTTGCACTTAAGATTGAACATTCAAATATGTAGAAAAAGTGCGAAAAGATTGTCGCCGCTGTGGGAATCGAACCCACGTACTTACGTCGTTTTTCGTGCTGGAAAGGATATAACAATAGATGGCGCCAAGCATTGCTTCAAATGCTAAGAAAACAATGTAGAACAATGCGTTAAGATTTTCGTCGGTGTGGTCATCAGCCGTTTAGCTCAGTGGCTAGAGCGTCAGGCCGCGAATGCCGAAGACGTGGGTTCGATTCCCACAGCGGCGACAATCTTTTCGCACTTTTTCTACATATTTGAATGTTCAATCTTAAGTGCAAAGATTAGCACTATAAACAATTTAAATTTCTAAAAAAGCAATGGCGACATCTCTCGTTCGAATTATCGTTGTAAAACGATATTCGAAATTGTTTGTATGCTGGAAAGGATATAACAATAGATGGCGCCAAGCATTGCTTCAAATGCTAAGAAAACAATGTAGAACAATGCGTTAAGATTTTCGTCGGTGTGGTCATCAGCCGTTTAGCTCAGTGGCTAGAGCGTCAGGCCGCGAATGCCGAAGACGTGGGTTCGATTCCCACAGCGGCGACAATCTTTTCGCACTTTTTCTACATATTTGAATGTTCAATCTTAAGTGCAAAGATTAGCACTATAAACAATTTAAATTTCTAAAAAAGCAATGGCGACATCTCTCGTTCGAATTATCGTTGTAAAACGATATTCGAAATTGTTTGTATGCTGGAAAGGATATAACAATAGATGGCGCCAAGCATTGCTTCAAATGCTAAGAAAACAATGTAGAACAATGCGTTAAGATTTTCGTCGGTGTGGTCATCAGCCGTTTAGCTCAGTGGCTAGAGCGTCAGGCCGCGAATGCCGAAGACGTGGGTTCGATTCCCACAGCGGCGACAATCTTTTCGCACTTTTTCTACATATTTGAATGTTCAATCTTAAGTGCAAAGATTAGCACTATAAACAATTTGAACACAAACTATGTTATATTATGGAATGCATAACATTCAGGTAGACACATATATGCTTATGCATATTATATCATCTTGTCATTATAAACATTTCATAAAAGGACTTAATAACAGTTTGTAAATACATCCAAATGGTAAACACTACAAAAGCAATAAAAAGTTTTATATGGATTTAGTTTCAATAGATAGAGATTATATTGTAAACATTCCAAAAACTTTATTATATTTAAGAGATTTTTAAAGGTAGAATGAGATTGCACAATGAAAAATTATATCGATATATTTAATGTTTACAATAAAAGAAACTTTTTTTTTTCTCCAATCAATGGAATAAAGTTCTATTGAAATACTTGTGCTTATTTGAGGAAACTTGAATAATAAAGAATTGTTAAGTATATAACAGATACAAGATAAATAAAACTACTTCGTTAAGAACGTTCATGAACTCTACTAGCAATTAATATTTATACACAGCCAACACAAATGCCCTTTATGTTAATGTTAGATTCAAATACTTTTTTGTAATACTAACTCGATGCTTAGATAAAAATAATGTAACCAAAATTTATAATACTGCCTATTGCTAATAATACTCGATATGAATGCTTTTACTTATGGAAAAAATGCTTTGCATATAAAACTTTAAATCACAGAAACATTGAATGTCTCTTACGTAAAGAAAAAAAAACAATATAAATAATAAATAAAAGCGTCTGAAAACGTAAACAGTTGTTTAGACAAAATCACTTAATTGATAAATCTGTTTATGAAAGTAAAAAAAAAATAACTACTTGAGATACTTACGAGATATTTTTTTTATATTCATCAAACAACTAAGCCAATAATCGATAATTATATTTGAGGCGTGCGAAAATAAATAAATAAGTAGTGAAATTTTTGCGCTTACAAAGTAACTTAACAACAGTACAATAAGTATTTAAAACCGAAAACTGTGTATTACTGAATTTTATATAGCACTTAAATATTACAGAACTTGCGCATTTCAATAAAAAATACAATATTAAGTGCTACTGTGTTAGTCTTGATGGTTTTGATCGTTTGATTGAAGCAGAGATACTACAGAGGTCGAGATTCCAGGTGACAAGTTTCTATGGATCTAGTTTCCAGGGGTAGAGTTTCTAGGGGACGAGTTTGAAGGTCGCATGTTTCTAGATGACGAGCTTCTAGTGGGCACCGTTGTGGGCTTGGCGCTGCCTCTTGGAGGGCGGACCTCCCGCGAACATTGCGCCCGAGTGCAGCTCCGAACGGAGGAACGGGACCTGGACGAACGCAAAACGATCTAGATCGGTGATTTCAACACTTATTTGATACTGTAGACGCAGCAGACATATGCCCGCACGCTTTCTAACATCATATTTTGCGTTTCTGTTTCTGCAATTTTTGAAATTCAAACAGAAACATTATCACGGGGTGATTTTTAAGCGCATGCGCGGCGACTTTAATTTATGAAGACGCACGCAAACTGCCTTTTTGCGTGCGTCTAAACACTGAAAATTCACTGTCATCGTTTTTTACAAACGCTCCAAAAGGGAACGAGTGTGGTGTTAGTGGTGGTTGCGGCGGTGGTGGTTGTTGCAGCGGTGCGCACCTTGTGCTCGAGCTGCATGTGGTGGTTGGGGCGCACGGTCGTATTTTCCAAACACGCCAATTGAGGTGAGTGTGGTCGTGGTCGTGGTGGTGTTGTGGCGGTGGCGGTGGCTGTCGTGACACCTTGTGCTCGAGCTGCATGTGGTGGTTGGGGCGCACGGTCGTATTTTCCAAACACGCGAATTGAGGTGAGTGTGTTAGTGGTCGTGGTCGTGGTGGTGGTGGTGTTGTGGCGGTGGTGGTGGTGGTGTTGTGGCGGTGGTGGTGGTGGTGTTGTGGCGGTGGCGGTGGCTGTCGTGGCACCTTGTGCTCGAGCTGCATGTGGTGGTTGGGGCGCACGTTCGTATTTTCCAAACACGCCAATTGAGGTGAGTGTGTTAGTGGCCGTGGTCATGGTGGTAGTGGTGTTGTGGCGGTGGCGGTGGCTGTCGTGGCACCTTGTGCTCGAGCTGCATGTGGTGGTTGGGGCGCAGGGCGAGGCAGGCGCGCAGCAGGTTGTCGAGCGAGGCGCGCTGCTTGAAGAGCGCGTTGACGACGGGCGCGCCGCGGCCCACCAGCGGCGCCTTCAGCAGGTACGCCAGCGGCGAGAGCACCGCGTGCAGCCCGCACCACTCTGCCCCGACAGAAACACCTCCGAGTATACAACGGGGCGCTACCGACGCGACCGTAAATCAAACCACATATAGAAGACTAATACCAAATTTCAAGTCTCTACGCCTTATGGTTTCAGAGATATCGTGACGAGTCAATTATCGTTGGAAATCTCTTATATATGAGGAAGGTTCACTTCCCACTACGCCAAATGGGGTCGTAAGATTTTGAGACGAAAATGACGTTGAGTAAAAATGTTTCCTAAAATATGTAAATATAAAAAAATATATAAATATAAAATAAATGTAAAAATGTCTATCCATCCTCCAACATATATAGTTTTCGCCTTGCGTGCGTGCGAAGCGTAGATTTTCACGGTAGTTTTCACGTATGGCCACGCAGCAGCCTCGGCTGTTGCACGAATGGGCAGGCTCGTCCGGTAAGTACCACGACCTCACAGAAAACCGACGTAAAGTAAAAGTATAATACTTTCGCGTTTCGTCTGGTGAGTGAGGTGGCCGGAGCCCAATTTTCAAAAGGTTGTCAACGCATCTGGAACCCTATGGTGTAGCAGATGTCCACGGTCGGCGGTATTCACTTAACATCAGGTGAACCGCCTCCTCACTTGACAACTTTTCACATTAAAAAAAAAAAAGATTAACAACGAATTCCCAAATGCCAAAACCTAAATTCATTGACTAGGATTCGCGTTGGTCGAGTTAAACTCATTAAAATCAATTAACAGGCCACGACCACAACTGTTTAAAGTGAAAAAAAAAATACTCACCACCGCATTCACAAATCAAAACTCGACCACGGCAAATCGTCTTACACTTCACAATAGACTAGGAACCATTGGGGTTTGAATACCCACTAAATCTCCCTCGGTGGTCACCTTCTGTACGTTTGAAGGGACTCCGGGATCTACTGCGGAACAACCTCGCTGCAGCCCATGAGAACGCCTCGGAGAGAAACCTTCCCCAATTCCCTCGCCATGCTAACTGTGGTAGGCCACACAACAGTGTTCATTGTTACACGGGCACGTCCGGGTAAGCACCACGGCCTCACAAGACCGGCCTAAAGTTGAAGTGTTCTGCGTTTCGTCTGGTGAGTGAGGTAGCCGGGGCGCACTTTATATTTCTATTTATTGGTGGCAACGCATTTGCAAGCCTACGGGTGTCGCAAACGACCATGGGCGGCGGTTATCACTTAACATCAGGTGAACCGGCAGCTCGTTTGCTACTTTGTCACATAGAAAAAGAAGAACACTTCGTACTGCTGCCAATCCGTGTCCCCTTTGAGTCGCCTTTTACGAGAGGCGGGGGATAGCTCAGCCCCATTCTACGAGCGGGGCACTAACCGTCTCCGTCGCCGCGGCGCAGCTGGACGCGGCCCAGCAGCTCGGCCAGCAGCACCAGGTCCAGGATGAGCGGCACCGCCAGCAGCGAGTCCTCGCACGTGTTGTGCACCGCTATCGTGTTGGTGCCGTGCAGCAGGATCTCCGACGTGTACTCGTCCATTGCTCGCTTCGAGTCGCCTGCGAGCCGGGACGGAGACGATATAGAAGCGAAGTAACGGCCTATGAAAGTCCCACCGCTGGGCAAAGGCCTCCTATGTACAGAGAGTAAGGCATAGTCCGCCACGCAGCCCCACCGCGGATTGGCGGACTTCGCGTATCTTCGAAACGTTTTTTTGTTGTTATTTCGAACGTTCACGAATGGGCGGGCCGCAGGTCCGTCCGGGTAAGTACCACGACCTCACGAATTACCGGCAAAAGTGGAAGTATGGCAAATACGTGAACGTGATGAGTCAGCACTTAAAATTAACAATTCCATTGGTACCATCACTCTCACAACGCAGGGTGCTCGAGTATATTGTGTTAAAAGCGAGCGCTTGGTTAACGAGCCATCACGGCGGAGACGTTATACTGTCGGTCGAAGTAAAACAGCGACAGTTGGAGAGACAAGAACACTAGGCAGCCGTGCAAACGCGACTGTACGGGACGCAAACCACGAATTCGGCACCCGTGCATATACAACTGTACCGGATGCAATTACGGGTGCTCCTGTTCCATGCGCAATACGAACGCGACTGTACCGGTGGCACCGAGCTTGCAACCTTGAAAAGAGCGCGACTGTACAATTAGTTTATGCATGTTTTAAATCAATATCGGTTAGAAATATAAAATTACGGATTATTGGGGCGAAAAGCGCATACAAATGTTTATTCCTGATTTTAGTAATACGTTTAAAAAGATAACAAAGGAGTTATACTCAGTAAGCTAGTTCAAGTGGTGTTAAAATCTGAGAGGAATGTGATTTATACTCTTATACTTTTTATACTTATTTATTACACTTTAAACCAATCCAATCTTTTACTATTTATGCTATTTATTCTTTACTTTATATATATAATAAAAATAGTCGCTAAGTTTACAAAGATTAAAATATAAAATAACTACAACTTTTAGTCGTCCGTACACTAATAACAACATTTAAGTCGCGTTCTGTATCTTAATAAAATTCGACTGTGAACCAGAATTGAAAAAAGAATTTCGACATCGAATATTGCCGGCCAGTGGTAGCAGAGTATAACCAACGAGGAATTAATAAAACTTATGTGTTCAAAACTCGACCATCATTTCAACATTAAACATTTTTTTTATTGATTTAATATGTTTTTATGGATATTTTTTTAATAATTTTTAACAAAAAAAAAACCGACTTCAAACCGAAATTAGAAAAATATTGTTGATACTTATGACATTTGAGCATTGCCCTCGATTTCTCTGGGATGCCACCATCAGATCTGGGTTTCCTTATCATGGTACCACCCTTGGGATATCTCCTTTCCAACAAAAAAAAATCATCAAAATCGGTTTATAAGCGATGAAGTTTTCCGCGAACACACATAAAAAATACATATATATACGGTCGAATTGAGAAACCTCCTCCTTTTAGAAGTCGGTTAAAAATATTAACATTCTGCACTCCTTCTAATAAATGTTGGAAATTTCATACTCCTCCGTCAAAGTAAGGGTAAAATAAAACAATGTCGTCCCGCGCTGTCTGTCCCTATGTATGCTTAGATCTTTAAAACTACGCAAGAGATCTTTATGCGGTTTTCTTTACAAGGTAGAGTGATTCAAGAGGAAGGTTTATATGCATAACATATTGCACCCATGCGGAGACGGGGTGAGTCGCTAGTTAACATAATAAAACAAAACCTCCTTGCGAAACGTATACGGCTTTCTACTCACCCACGTACGGTACGTATTTGATGACGACCACGTGGTCGGGCTTCTCGCCCGGCTTGTATAGCAGCCTGTTCGCTTCCACCATATCGTCCACCACGTTGCTCTTCGTTATCTGTGCAAACAAAGCATTTCGTTATCTGTGAATACAAAGCTACAAGTTCACAATTTTCGTAAACTCTCATCTCCTACCGTGACTGGCCTACAGCAAGGATGAGCAACGCGAAACCGAAATATTTTTTGTTCGTTTCTCTGTTCTTTTCTTGTTTGTTTTTAGCTTGCATTGAAATTTGTATTTGTATATGAAATCTTTACTTTTTTTTTTTTTAATTTTATATTTTTTTATTCTAATATTTATTATAAATAAATTTTCGTAAATTATTATGTGCTGCCCGCCAAAAAAATTTGAAATTTAAATTGGCCCATTGATTAAAAAGGTTGCTCACCCCTGGTATACAGTACACCCGTAGATGAATATGTATGTGCCTTAGATTTTTTTCGTCTAAAAACTTTTACATGACACATGAACATATTATGACTTAGGATTTTTTCATCTTTCGTCTACAATACTTTGTTTCATAGTTCATAGATTAACGTATGACTTATATCGGCGTTGAGAGTAGCAATTAAAGTGATAACATGCTTGTTTTTAATAGTACAACTAAGGAAGCTGGATATCGCAGTCAGAACACACAAATCGCAAGAAGCATTTACAGGCCGATAGGTAGTGTGTGACAGTGATATCGCTCTACGAAACCAAAATCAGCCGATTGTCTCTTTCCAAATGTCGATCTACAATATTTATCGCTGAGTACTAGACATTTCCTAGTGCCAATCTAAGCAAAACGGGTGCTAGGTTACTAATAAACATACTTAACGTACTTACTATTTAAATAAACACAGATTATAGATATTTAAATACTCAGACAAAAAAAAACGCTGAATGTTTATTTTTTATAGTGCTAATCTCTACACTTAAGATGAATTATTAAAATTTGAAGAAATTATATATAAATGTATAAAAATTTAAATTTCTAACTGCAATGGCGACATCTCTCGTTCGAAATTATCGTCGTAAAACCATATTCGAAATTGTTTGTATGCTGTGAAGGATATAACAATGGATGCGCCAAGAATTGCTTGAAATGCCATAAAACAATGTAGATAAAAGACAGTCGACCGTTTAGCTTAGTACTTAAAGCGTCCGGGCGTGAATCCCAAAGGAGTGGGTTCGATTCCCGCTGCATGGAAAGACTTTTCGCACTTTCTCCAACAAATTTTAAACACTACGTTCATCACACTACTCTCCTTGAGTACAGTCCGTCTGGTGTAAATAAGCTCACCTCCTTGGACCTGAATTGTTTGGGCGCCGAGAGATTCTTGCCGTCGTTGTTTCCCAGGTGGTTGTAGCTGACGATGGACACCGGCTTCAGACCTGTGCAAAGTGAGTAAGCGTTCATATAAACCATCTCGCATGTAGTAAAGTAACGGACTATACACGTCCCACTGCTGGACAAAGACCTCCTCTGTACAGAGGGTAACAGAGCATAGTCCACCACGCGGCCCCACTGCGAACTGGCGGACTTCACATATCTTCGAAATGTTTTTTTGTTATCATTTCGAAAATATGCAGGTTTCCCCACGACGTTTTCGTGTTTGACTATGTGTGTGTGCGTGTACGTTTATGTGTACGTGTACGTGGGCGTGTGTGTGCCAGTGCGTGTGCGTGTGCGTGCGTGTGAGTACGCACCGGCGGACACCAGGAAGTCGACGAGCACCGACTTTAGCTTGGTCTGGCCGGACTTGAAGTCGTCGCCGGCCACGAACACGCCCGCCCTCTCAGCCCTCTCCACCACGCCGTCCACTATGGTGTTCTGCGGCGACCCGTTGATGTAGCAGCACTGTGAACGCGATGAGCTCATCGTCATTTCTATGTCTTGAGAAACGGAGTAAGACGGCAAGACTAATGCCACAGAGATTTTTGTAAATCACTGCATAGTATAAAACAAAGTCGTCCCGCTGTCTGTCTGTCCCTATGTATCTTGTAACGGATCTTGATGTGGTTTTTTTTACTAGATAGAGTGATTCAAGGGGAAGGTATATATTTATTATTATACATATAAACGTTCCACCCTGGCGAAGGCGGGGCGAGAAGCTCTTATATTATATATAAATGTATGCTTCAGCATTTAGCAACAATAGGTAGCATTACGGCCTCACAGAAGACCGGCGTGAAGTAGAAGTGTTACACTTCTGCGTTTCGTCTGTTGAGTGATGTAACCGGGGTCAACTTTATTAAGAGGTGGCAACGCATCTGCAACCCTACGGGTGTCACAAATGTCCATGGACAGGCGGTTATTCTTTAACATCAGGTGAACCGCCAGCTAGTTCGCCGCTTTCTCACATAAAAAAAAAATACTCACCCCCTCATCGACGGCGGCGAGTGCCAATATGGTGGAGGGCGATATCTCAGAGTCGTTGTCGCGCAGAGCTCTTTCCAGATTCTCGGCGGTGTCGTGAACACCCGTTTTCACTTCGCAGAATCTGAAGACGCGATGGACCACGTACATTTATACATACACCATTTCCTTTACATACACCTTTGCAAGAGCAGAGGTTAAGAAAGATCTTAACCTCTTTCTTATCCTATCAGAACGGGAATTCCCGTACCAATAATATCGGACACTATCGTAATATGAGAGATAATATCGTAAACTAGATGTATCTATTCATACGTTTGAAATTTACAATAGTCAAGATTAAACAATATCGTGTTACATGAAAGTAAATATTATGTCGTCGAGAGGTCATTTCTCGTTGTAGAAACTAATTTAATAATGCCGGAGCTATAGATAGCCGTGATAGCTCGGTGTCCGGGCGCACCTTTAATTCAATTTACACGAGCAACCTGAGTTCGATCCCCGGTGCCGACACTAATGAAATTCTTAATTTTAAGTGCTGAATTATCACGTGCTCAGCGGTTAAGGAATACATCGTGAGGAAACCTGCATGTTTTACGAAATAATAACAAAACATTTCTAAGATATGTGAAGTCTTCCAATCCGCAGCGGGGCCGCGTGGTGGACTATGGCCTGATACCCTCTGTATAGAAGAGGCCTTCGCCCAGCAGTGGGACGTATATTTAAATATACAAGGTTAAAAGTGAAACTATAATGCGCTCACGAGATAAATAATTCTTTCCGGTTGACATTCTTAGACAAATTATAGCACGGAACTTCCGCTGGACTCAACGCGTCTATAAAATACATTGCGCCATTTGTTAGCAAGTGATAATTAGCAGTCTGTTCTGCAAAGCAATGCAACGCAAGAGCTTTGACAAAACCGGTATCTTAGGGAGCACGCCAAGTACAAAGAGAATGAGAGCGACTCTCAGGTGGCACTATTAAAACACAAATTAGTACCGATAAATAAAATAATAACAAAAATAAAGTACCAACCAGAAAGAAACAAACAAATTCAAGGAAGAGTCAATGCGTACCAATAACAACCGAGATAAAGAATGTAATGACTTCGTTTTGAAATTATGCTGCAGGTAAACACCCTTCACACAAATAATATAAAATAGGAACAATTACCGTTGACTTACTTGTAAAAATGTATAGGGTGAAATAAAAGGTTGCATGAAATGAAACAACGTCAAGTTTACAACATAAACCGCTTCCGCTTCCGCCTCCGCTAGCGCTCACGCTCGTACCGTCACTATAGTATCAGCGCCGCGGCTGTTACACGACTCGCATCGACACGGATACCGAAGATCAACGCACTCCATTGCCAAAAACTGCCAGTGTCATTGATCGACCGCGCATTCACGTGTTCGCCGGAAACGCCGAGTGGCGGTGTATCGTTTCAAACCACGTGGCGCGATAGCCTTATGTAACTTTCGTCGTGAATTGAAGTGACTTACTTAGTTAGGGAATTCACCCTTCGCCGTATAACGCACGCATTTGTTACCGATATATACAGCGTGTCGTTACCATCGCGACAATAAAATAAAATATATATTAAAAATAAATATTTTTCAAACAAACTAATTAAGCAAAAAAAAGAAACAAAATTTGTAACATCCTATACAACTCGCGCCACAGCGTCGCATTACAAGCCTCTCCTTCTAACAGTATGTTTTGTCTCTTTTAGATTAATTCAACCCATTCATATGCTTTGTGACCTTTATTAATGAACTTTACGTTACAGTTTTTTTTACGTAAGGGTGTTCTAAAATTCTTTGTTTTGGAAAATTTAATAACTCGGTAAATATTGATGTTTATGTATTGATTAAAAAGTTATCCTATATATGTGTGTTCATTTATTGTCGCGGTGGTAACGACACGCTGTATAACTGTATAGTTATAAGGAGATGACCTAAGTCGTCTAAAATTCCAAAGGGTACTTTTACCGACATTAAAAGGACGTTCCTGTCTCCGTAAGTCACCAGATAAAACGCAGAGGCATTAAAAATTTAAACGTGTCGGTCTTCTTTAAGGCCGTAATACCAACCCATTCCAGCAAAAAAATACCCTACATTTTGGTATGTAGTAGTAAAAAACTAAGCCAGAAATTTTTAATACCCTTGTCTCTCTAAAAAAAACCCCCCCACTGTGGATTGACGGACTTCGCATATTTTTATTAACCGGCTTCAAAAAAGAAGGAGGTTTCTCAATTCGACCGTATACATTTTTTTTTTGCCGTGATAGCTCAGTGTCCGGGCGCTCGCCTTTATTTCAATATACTCGAGCAACCTGAGTTCGATCCCCGGTGCCGGCACCAATGAAGTTTTTAACTTTAAGTGCTGACTTATCACGTGCTCCGCGGTGAAGGAAAACATCGGGAGGAAACCTGCATATTTTCGAAATAATAACAAAAAATGTATTTCGAAAATATGTGAAGTCCGCCAATCCGCAGTGGGGCCGCGTGGTGGACTATGCCCTGATACCCTCTGTATAGAGGAGGCCTTTGCCCAGCAGTGGGACATGTATAGGCTGTTACTTTACTTTACTTTTACATTTTTTTTTATGTGTGTTCGTGGATAACTTCGTCATTTATGAACCGATTTTGATTATTCTTTTTGGACGGAATGGAGATGTTCCAGGGGTGGTACCATGATAAGAAACCTCAGATCTGATGATGGCATCCCAGAGAAACGAGTGCCATCATTAAATGTTACAGGTATTAACAATGTTTTTAATTTTCTGATTGAAGTCGTTTTTTGTTTTTGTTAAAAATTATACTTGTTACTTCATATTTCGAAAACAAACTGGTTTCTCACTTAAAATTAGCAATTTCATTGGTGCCGGCACCGGGATTTGAACTCGGGTCGCTCGAGTATATGTATATAAACTCAACTGCGTTTTTGTGTATTTTTTTATTTCATGGGTACATTGAGGTATCACTTTCACAGTAAATACGAATCTAACAACACCTCTCAAGCTAAAATCCATCAAGCCGTTCAGGCTGCAGAGCGTGCCAAACAATTATACATATATACAAACTCTCGAAAAACACAACCCTCCTTCTGGCGCAGTCGGGTAACAAGCACAAGATTTGTTTATCACAATAAGAATAACACGTTTCTGGTTGTAATTATACTAATTAATAGTATAATAATAAATACTATAGTAATTTGCGTGCCTATGAACAGAACACATAAAACACGTACGTGAGGTCACAAACCAGGTCCTTGACTTACCTCTCCGTGTTTGCGGTCCACAGGACGATGATCTTGTCCAGCTTGTTCTTGTCGCGGAAGTCCTTGATGTCCGCGCGCACCTGCAGATACTGCTCGTAGCGCGTGCCGCGTATCAGATTCGTAGCACGGTCGGCCTACGAAATTTTTATTTTTTTATTTTTTAAACATTGCTCTTACTTTAGGATAACATTATCCTGTGTTGTAAGGACGTTTTACAAACATCAATTCCACGCGGACAAACACCCAGATTCGGACCGGAAAGTACTCCTAGCCTCCGTCTCTGGTCAAGTGCAAGGATACGGGATGATTGATATTTAGCTAGATGGTGCACATTTGGTTAGGGGAAGATAAAAGCTGCAATGCTAAAACCTACTTATCAGCAGAGACTGTTGAATCGTTAAATTTGATGATCCTATCCAAGGATTCATTTAAATAAAAGAAATGGTTCGAATCGGTCGATGAAGTAGAGATAGGCACACACAAAAGTAACAAATAAATATGTTTACTATAAGTATGTATAATAATATAACCATAAGGTTTTTATGTCATCAAATCTTTGAGCACCTGGGTAATTATATCGATCGCTTTATGCTTGACTGTCTCAACTTAAGGGAAATCATTACACCGTTTAGTCGAAATGAATTTCCATTTAAACCATAAGGGCTTTAATCGGACATTAAAGTAACAGCCTATACATGTCCCACTGCTGGGCAAAGGCCTCCTCTATATATAGAGGGTATCAGGGCATAGTCCACCATGCGGCCCCACTGCGGATTGGCGGACTTCACATATCTTCGAAATATTTTTTTGTTATTATTTCGAAAATATGCAGGTTTCCTCACGATGTTTTCCTTCACCGCGGAGCACGTGATAAGACAGCACTTAAAGTTAAAAACTTCATTGGTGCCGGCACCGGGGATCGAACTCAGGTTGCTCGAGTATTTTGAATTAAAGGCGAGCGCCCGGACACTGAGCTATCACGGCTCTTAATCGGACATTCCCATTCGTAAATTGTCAAAGACGTCGAATTCTCGAGTCAATACGTTTACGCGCGGTTTCTGAATCACTGATCAACGTTAAAGCCAACTAATCCGCTGACAAATGGATATTCAGATTGTATTTGACTTGCCAAAAGGATTGTCAAACTCTTTGAATTGATCATTCTGATCATTAACAAGATCGTTTGACAACTGATTAGTTAACATATACGACGATCAGTGTTTCAGAAACCATAGTATTCACGTGTCGCCTATTCCAGAACTTTCCATCGAGGCGCGGCGGCGTCGAATTACCCTCTGCCATTCTCACGACTCGACACCGTGTCACGAGTAATTCGACAACCCGACTCGTGTGGCGCGTGTTTTATAAACACTTCCGCTTGCACCGTGCAAAGAACGAGAAGCTCCCGGTCTGCCGTGAAATCGGCGCCGTAAGACCGGTTTTGTAAACATCTGCCAACTACTCTGTGTCCCATTCATGTTGTTATACGACGACTGTTCGTTACATTGAACCGTTGAATTACATTTACGTATGTCGATTAAAAAGAGATTTCTACTGTGGTATACAGGGCCGGATTTAGGGGAAGGCTTCCTGAAAAGAGAGACCCGCGCAATAGACTTCGGAAAAAGAATCCAAATTCAGACTAGTAAACACAAGTAAACAACTTTTATTTTTAGACAATTCTTGTTTCCGATTATATTTATATGTTCCATCACTACATAGCATAAAACAAAGTCGTCCCGCTGACTGTCTGTCCCTATGTATGCTTATACCTTTAAAACTACGCAACGGATCTTGATGCGGTTTTTTTTACAAGATAGAGTGATTCAAGAGGAAGGTTTATATGTATAATAAATTGAACCCGTTCGAAGCCGGGGCGGGTCGCTAGTTAATAATAAAATAATCTATACTTTGTTTCACAAAAAACTATTTATTGGAAAACTCGACTGAAAAAAAATTGTTCATTTTATTCCGAAAATAATTTGGGGCCAAGGCCCCCCCCTTGGCCCCAAATTATTTTCGGAATTCCCCTTTTTGACTCCTTTGTTGCCCCGAGGCCTCCAGACCACTAAATCCCGTGCCGTGGTGGTAGAGCATTGCTGCTCTACCACCACGGCACACAGCTGATGCAGCTGACGCTTCCGAACGCACGAATAGACCATCTCGACCGGGAAAGTATCACGGCCTCACAGAAGACCGTATTTATACTTCTGCATATCGCCCTATTGAGGGCGATATGCAGAAGTATACTGATAGACGTACTAGCGAGGTACGTCTATCAGTAATTGGCAACACACGCCGGCAACAATTTTGGGGTTGTCGATCAATTGGAGGCGATTTATATTAAAAAAAATTAGTAGATATACCATAAATGTCTCTAAATTCGTTATTCAGTCTAGTTGGCTTAATTACAAAGTAATAATTGAATTAACGGGATAAGCAAGAAGTTAATATTATACAATCGTCAAAAACATAGGTACGGTATGCTTAAGCTTCATTATCGTACCTTTGATTACGTACGATGTTGTTGTCATTTCAATTCGGAGAATAGCTCATCGGGCGAAAATACCGCACCGTTGCATGAACAAATTGACGATGCATTCAATTAATAAACTTCCTGTGTCGCGATCACACGGCATGGGCTCATGTTACATAGTTATGCGCGGTAGCATTCAACATGCCCATAATTACGTTAACGAAACGCAATTACCAACTTACTGAACGTAGTAAATTTCCACGCGACAATATGATTCATATAGATACTTCATATTTTTCGTTCAACAATCATAAAATCATATTATTATTACTAGCTAACCCAGCAAACGTTGTTTTTCCATATGAATTATTTCGAGGGAATTTGTTAATCTGAAAACATAGAAAAAGAATTTTCGGAACGCACGCATAAAACGTTTGACAGTTAGAAACAGCTTGTGTGGGAAAATAAAATTGTTGCTATTTCGATTTTGGAAATGACAACAACTGCCACAAATATTTCAAAACCAAAATTAGCTAAATCGGTCCAGCCCGTTCTCGAATTTTAGCGAGACTAACGAACAGCAATCCATTTTTATATATAAGATTTAATTGTGTATTTACGCAAATGGTAATCGTTAAATGATACTACTTTTGGATACATAATTTGGTTTGATCTGACGTCACTGATAACCCGCTACCGTCAGTGTAAACTACATGTCAGTGGTGACGTCATAAATGGAAGGTCGATTCATAATCAGCGAGTTCAAATTCGTGCTGTACGCATTTGACGCTTTTCGAATTTGACAGAACAAAGTACGCCTTACGCTGTACAGGTTTTGAATACCAATTCGAAACCTATATAAACTTCTAAATACGGCACTTTTTGTATGCATTTTTCTAAAAATCGATAAAGCCACAGCATTGTTCTACGAACGAATATAATGCTTGAAGTTGCAAGTGCTCGAGCCGATTTCAGTCTTCATTCAGAGTAAGACTAACGAACGCTAATAAATTAACTTGATACAGTAACAATGAAATGTATACAGTATACAACGGAGTGACAATATTATAAAAAAACGAAAAAATATTTCGAGAAGAAACGAATAAACTATAACTCACAAAACATTAGAAAGGACCCGTATTCACTACTCTCGACACCCTTTTTTTTAATAAAAAAAAGATGACAGACGGCGGGAGATAATCGGATGCTTTTACAAAAAAATACGTTAACTTAAGCAGAAATCATGTTCTTAATGTATGAGATAGGTTATTTTACAACCAGGCACTTTTCTGACGTCAACGCTCAAGAACGTACTTGTCCCGTGTGTGTGCGAATCAAAACCATAGGCCTAGGCGACCACGCCACGAAGAAAGATTAACAGAGAGAATTTATGAATAAAAGAGAAAGTCGATGACATCCCTACACATTGTGTGTCGTAGAAGACTACTGATATAATTACTGTCGCCATAAATTGTACCACAGCCGTGGAACGCAATTCGACTACCCCATTCTGGGTAACAGGTGCGAGTTAAATATGAAAGACTTTGATCAACGCCTCGGTATAAACTTGAAATGTAATCTCCCACCGCTACGCGCACAGGTATCTAATGTGAAATTAAACTTTACACGTGTTCAAACGGCACGTGACGCGCCATACATTAGAGATGTCGACATAATTAGCTAACGAAATATACATTTTAAATGATGTCCCTTATAATTATAATGCGTGACCGGTACGCTAGAACATATATAATTCAGTAATTTGAATAATTTGCATGTAAAGAACACGTAAACAGCTCAATCATCAGTACATGAAAATATATACTTTATTTATATGTCATATATTAGAGTAAAGACTAGAATATATATTTTTAAAACTCAGTATGAATTCGTATGAACGAGAAACATAGTAGGTATTAAAAATTATTTGATATCTCTAGACTTTTTCTTTCACAGCAATACTGGATTCTTGATTTAGATAGGAATAAATGTACATTATCACATGTCTGTATATTTGTAAATAAAAACCATAATACAAAAACAATAATTTTGAAGATGCCGTTGTTTAAGCAAAAATAGATTCAGATAGCAACAAATAATAATTTCCCTTGGCTTTAATATTCGATGATTTGCAATAATTATCAGGTAGACAAGTTTTAATTAAAGCGACACGTTCCTTCGTCAATTAACCTTGAAAAGTTTGCTTTATAGAAACTAATCGACTTCGGGTTTAATATACATATCAAATTAGTAGTTAATCAGTAATGCTAATAGCAATATTAAAAATATAATGAAAATAAATCGAGATGACAAAGAAATATCTTTAATAACACGCCTTAATCTCGACGTATCAAATTCTCTTAAAGTATGTTAACTGGTCAATAACCATTTAACACATAGCGAGAGACGTGGAGCGTCTAGTCTAGGCGCTTTAACCGAAAGTTGCAGGTTCGAATCCTGACATTAGCTAAAAAAATTTCGCCCAATTTAATTTTTCTTTAAAAATAAGCAAGTATACGGTCATTAAATTTTACTTTAAGTGCAGAAAAGAGAGAGATCCGTGAACAGGAAACAACTGAAGAATACACTTGATTACTCCACCGATTCCAGGACGAAAGACGTGTCTTAAATCAAAAATCAAAATGAAAAATATATTTATTCAAATAGACGCTTGCGCGCTCTTATGAATCGTCTTAGAATTAGAATTATGTATATAGGTTCGTAAGGTACCACCGGTTCGGAAAGCAGTTTCTGTTGAGAAGAGACCGGCAAGAAACTCAACAGTTGCTCTTTTTCAAAAGTATCAATTTACAATATAATAAACAGGTATAATAGTCTTATTCTAGCCTACGTGAGTAGCCTTACGCTGACGACAATTATCACAACAACTGGTGGCGCGCTTCCTTGGGCTGGAGCTCACCTGGTTCGCGGCGATGAAGTCGGGGTCGTAGATGGCGGGCCGCGGCTTCATTGCCGCCATCTCCTTCCTCAGCTTCTGCTGGAGGTCGTAGTCTATGACCTTGGCGCGGACCATCGACTCGGCCAGGTTCAGCGGGCTGATGTCCCAGCCGTCGATAACTTTGGACGGAGAACGTTAGATTTAGAATTGCACACGGTTGGCACGGCCACGCCTGCAGATGGCATTAACAAGACCTAAGTTAATCGTTAATCAAGCAGTCGATAACTTTGGACGGATAACGATAGATTTAGAATTGCACATGGTTGGTAAGCAAAGCTTGTACTATGGGTACTAGAAAACTGATAAACATACTTAAACATACTTTTCTTTTGTAAATAAATACATATTATACATATAGAAACACCCAGACACTAGAAAAACACCATGTTCATCACACAATATTTTTCCAGTAGTGGGGATCGAACCCACACCCTCTGGCGCAGGAGGCAGGTACACTACCCACTACGCCATTCGGGTCGTCACTTAATCACTAATTAACAATTTCTTTTCATTACAGATATAAATAAAAAAGTAAAGTAACTATAATGACAAATGCCTATAACTATGCTTTCTACAAAGAGTATTTGGGCATAGTTCATCACAAGAGACCACTGCGGATTTCACATATCTTCGAAATGTTTTTGTTAGTGTTTCGATAGTATACAGGTTTCCTCACGATGTTTCCCTTAACGCCGAGCAGGTGATAATTAGGAACTTAAAATTAGCAACTTCATCGGTGCTGGCACCGGAGATCGAACTCAAGATGCTCGAGTAAATGTAATTAAAGGCGAGAGCCCGGACACTGAGCTATCACGGCTCACTGACCACGTGATAAGTCAGCACTTAAAATTAACAATTCCATTAGTGTTTGCACCAGGATTTAAACCCACGTTCCTAGACCGTAATGTATTAAATGGACATCGACACGTATACAAGGATACGGGCGTGCACCCGCGAGTGTTTTCATATCGTCAACGGAAACGTGACCGAATGAAGGGTCACCGTGACCGAATGAAGGGTCATCGTGACCGAATGCAAGGTCACCGTGCGGGTGCCCGAATTGAAAAAGGCTTTATGGAGCGGATGAGTCGCGGGAAGAGCGAACGTCATCGAGCAACCCGTCCCGACCTACATTGCCGACCTAGCCGGCCTCGAAACAGCCGTGACCTTCGGCTGCACAAATCAATATCGCGTCCTGGCGACTCTTTTCGAATGGTAATGACCCAAATTAACGATTTCGGGCCGACAATGTGAAATCTCATATCAAACGATCATTTCACTCTGGCTGTATCTTTAAAATGGTCTTATTAGTTTGTGAGAAGATATAAATGAAACGCATAAAAGTGTTAGTCTCTGTTATGGTGTTGTTAAACTCATTTTTCATATATATATAGTAAAATGAGTTTAACAACTCCATAACAGAGACTATATAATTATAAAGTAACATACTTCAACAGACATGGCGCTCTTTAAGTCTTTACTCACGTTTTGTTTCACGGGTTGATCGATTTCTGGTAAGTGAAGCGAAAATCGAAAACCTTCATATTGGATTTGGAAAATATGTCTATCGAAGGTCAGGAGCAGAAATTGCCCAGGTGGACCTAAATCACTTCGTGAGCATCTAGTTGCCAGGGTTAGCTTCGTCTCCCAAATACATCTCTATACGCTAAAGACCACATCGAGTGCCATAAAAACAAGGAAAACGTTTTGCAATTTGTAGAAGTCACACCTTAAGGCGGAGGTTCTGTCACGTATTTGGAAGGATTAAATTAATTTGATCGTACGCTGTATTCATTGAAAACAGTGTACATCAATATACAACGGAAATTATAATTCCTCGCAATCTGCCTTGGCGGCTCATGGGGAAAATATACGACGACTTGATGACAACGCTCGAGCGCATCGACCTTACTATATGGAAGCGTATATTTTTTTTTTATGTGTAAAGTTGCCAAGCGAAGTTGCCAGACGGTTCACCTGATGTTAAGTGAATACCGCCGCCCGTGGACATCTGCTACACCCGAGGGGAAAAAAATGTAAACGTTAAAAAAATCCATAGTTAAAAAAAAATATTTTTCAAACAAACTAGTTAGGTAAATAAAAAAGAAACAAAATTTGTAACATCCTATACAACTACAACTCGCTACGATTCATACATTCAGAGACTTTTTTATTCGTTGCCACAGCGTCGCATTACAAGCCTCTCCTCCTAACAGTATGTTTTGTCTCTTTTAAATTCTTTCAACCCATTCGTATGCTTTGTGACCTTTACAAATGAACTTTAAAATTGCCATTCTATCAATTTCCTAGAAACGTTATTTCTAACAAGTCGAGCGCCCTTTTTAACCCAAATACGATCACTACTAAGGCGAGAGCTGGGAGGATTATTCCGGCGGAAAAATAACAAAATTATGACGTAAACGCAACAAAAATAGCTTTACCCAGCGTAGTCGACGAACAATGTGTTGTTTAAGGAATGTGCAGTTTTAGCTTATTTGCGTTCGTGAATCATATTGTATAAGCCAGTGATGGTCCAGCGTCTAGTATGTCGCGTTTGGGACGTGGAGTGATAAGATTTCCACTTTCCTTATAACTTGTGTGCAAGAAATGCTTCCGCGACAGGCTTAGCACTTGTCACATTCGGAATTAAATCATTAGCTGGTTTAAAAAACGCGACAGGTTCCTCGCTTATATTGGCTACACTGACCTAATGCGTGGCACTTCGGTCACAGGCTCAAATCCATTTTTACACAAACTGTACTGTACATCTCCATAGTTTATAAATGCGAACAAAATTGCCAATAAAACATGAGTCATCACCGTGCTTATGAGATGTTAGTACCGTGTATAAATCACGTGTGACCTCACTGTTTGAATAATAAACACTGCACCCCATCGATAAACTATCATTAATCAAGACCGCACTGAAAGCTTTGAACGCCATAATGGCACGAGTATTTTTCCACCCTGTCGCAAAAGACCCAAACGTACTAAAAATAACATTTATCGGTAACCCAGTACCAATGGTACAAAGTAGTTTTAGATAGACAACTAATATATAATTTTTGAGTGGTTACAGTTACATCGGACCTAAAAGAATATCTGTGCTAAGAATCAAACTCATCAATTAACAAGATAAAATAGAGAAAGAAAAGGAGCATCCGTTGCACGCAGTGGAAGAGGGATGGAAACTCACCCAGGTCGTCGGGGTGGACCATGGGCAGGAGTTGGGACATCCCCACGTAAACGTCAAATCCCTTCTCATCCATGCCCAAGCGGACGGTGGAGGCTTGCGTGATGGATCCGTACCTGTTGATGACGACAGAATTGTATTTAACGAGTAAAAACTTCTGGTAAGCGATCACCCCTGCAAATTAACAGTTGCATTATCGGTGGAGTCACAACTTCGCTGGCGGTGTTTAAGGCACCGTTCCTGAAGGTCCCTAAGTCGCATATGTCCGGAAATACCGCTGGTGGTTCCGGACCCATTCCATTACTTCAGCAGTTGATTGTATGTACAGAGGCTGATAAGGGCTGTTGATGCGGGATAAAGTGTACAATTTTTTTTGCAACACCCATAGGGTCGCACATGCGTGGCCACCTTTTAACAAAGCGGGCTCCAGTTACCTCACTCACCACGCAGAAGTGTAACACTTCCACTTCACGCCGGGTCTGTGAGGTAATTCCCCGGACGGACCAGCCCATTCATGCGACAGCAAAAACAGCTGTTGCGTGGCCCGACCACAGTTAAAACAAGCGCTTGCTAGTCAGCCTCCTTTTTCCGAACAAAAAAAAAAAGTAGTTGTCATCTCCGAGCACGAATGTCCACGTGCGTGTGTCTACCAACCAATTCGGCTCCATTTTGCCGTTCTTCGTGTTCCACGAGACCTGGTGCCGGTTGGCGAGCACCGCCGCCGTGAATGTGGAGCCGTTGTTCCCACCCCAGCCAACCAGCATCACGCCAAGGCGACCCACCTTCCGCGCAGTGCGTATGGCCAGCGACGTCTGGTATGGCTTCACCTTAACAAACGTCACTTGTAACTGCTATTGTATGTACAACCCTAATGTATTATTAACGACATCATAAGAGTCGCGGGTAAGCGGGTGGATGCAAATAGTCGTTCGTTGTGGCGTTCTAAGGGAGTTCAACAGTGGACATCTTGCGGCTGATTATGATGATGATGGTGATGAATGTATTATTTTTGTATAGTACCTTAGTGTAAATTAATCCTTACTAATATTATAAAGGCGAAAGTTAGTATGTATGGATGGATGTTTGTTACTCTTTCACACGAATACTACTGAATGGATTTTAATGAAGCTTAACAATAATATAGCTTATACATCAGAATAAGACATAGGCTATAATTTGTATACATATTTTTATGTATATCTGTCTTTCTGTCTGAATGTTACAACTTCAGCCTATTCTACGCAGACGTAGTCGCGGGCAGCAGCAAATACTTCATATTAAGACAAAAAAAATATACAAAACTTACAACAAAATTTTTAAGGGTAACTTAACTACATACCATACCTAATGTATTATTTTTAGTTATAGATATTAGCTTTAGTCTGAGGAAGTGATATGTTAACTAAAATAATACCGTACATGCAGTCGTTTAGGGGAACGCGAAAATAGTATCATAATATAAATGGTGAATTCACCAGACATTATCACAATTTGACATCGCCACTTTTCAAGATGAAGTGTCCTCGTTAATTTTATTGTATTCGTATTTCAAGAAAGTTTATTGAACTATTCTTCAAATTTTCTTATTTCAAAAACAAGTTCCAGATAGTCGTATTCCGTGCCCAAAATATTAAATAAATTATATGATAACGCCCGAACACTACTAAGACTGAAGAACTGCTTCTTTAAACAAAATTAGGCAATTATATTTTACTAGCAACCCGGCCCCGGCTTTGCACGGGTGCAATTCTGAATGTTTGTTTTTGACATCATATGAATTATATATATAAACATTTCTCTATCTATTACAGAAAACCGCATCAAAATCCGTTGCGTAGTTTTAAAGATCTAAGCATACATAGGGACAGATAGACAGCGGGACGACTTTGTTTTATACTATGTAATGATGAATTATTATTGTTTTATTATAGTTTGCACATAGGATAATGTGAGTAAACTAGATTGTCGAAAAATCGTTTTGAGCGCCACTCTGTATTCAAGACTGCGTTGTCTGAGTAACGTACCGAAACGCTCTAAACAAGTCAGCTTAGCCATCCGATATCTTCACGGCGCGAAAATCTCAACATCTGCCTTCTTTTTGTTGCATTTTGCAGTAATACTTAGTAACTTTGTAACCTACAGTTGCTATAAGTAAATTTTTAAAAACTAATTCTCTCAACGATTCGACTGCAACAGCATTCGAATAAGTTTTATTAGCTTGCGTATTGCATATTTAAAATTATCGCTGAAGATTTAGTTAAAAAAACTTCGACGCGATGATAAACGCCCAAAAACAGATGTTTTAACAAAACTAATTTACCGAATTTATAATGAATGATAAACTTTATATTATATTTTTCACGAAATTACCAAGAAATGACCACGATAACATCCGTTATTGCCTTCATTGAATTGTGTTATTTTCGCGTTAATAGAAGAATTTCTTAAACTTTTTAGGGTTCCTTAACTCAAAAGGTAAAAAGGAACCCTTACAAGATCACTCTCTTATCCGTCTGTCTGTCCGAGTGTCAGCAACGAAAATCGGTGGTTCGACTCATACTTGACCGGTTTTTTTATCTATATAACATGTTTGGATCAATAAAGAATTAAATTAAAATAATATAATTGTTTAATTCGCAAATTTTCACAACTTTTAATTAAGACACAATATTTGAAAACGCCAGCGGACATTGAGACATTGGCTCTGCGAGGTGGCATTCAAATATACGGGACAAGGACAAGCGAGGGTACACAATCGATCGAATGTTCTGGAAATTCCTGGACTTTTCGCGTCAAAAGCATAACGTTATTATCGAAATGCTAAAAAAACTTTATAAATTTAATTTTACTTAATATCCATAAAAAAAAATAGTGACCTAATTTTATGATTTTTTGGTATAAATGACAAATTCTTAGCTTTAAAATTAATCACACAGCATCTTAATAAAGCTTAACGTTATATTTCATTTTAATTATTATTTGTACTAAACTGCAGAAAAGTTATTCATCATTTAAATGAAAAAGTTACGCAAATAAAGTAACAATACTTAAGGTTACTTTAATTGTAATTGTAGTATTAAGAGAAACCTATCATATAGTTCTAATTAGCTTCTAGGCTGGAGCTTATAAAAAAATTTATAAATATTCTTATAGTACATTTTCCAATTGATATCAATTCACAACAGTAGAAAATGAAATAATATTTGATACTTAACCAAACATGTATCAATCTGTAATTACGTTTAAAATGAGCAATTCTTCTATATATGAATACATATCATTTGAATCTCAGAAACCACTCCAATGATTTTCATGGAATTTAGCATTCATTTAAGGGTTTCCGAACGATAAATTGATTTAGCTAGGTTACATTTTAAAACACGTCGTTTTATTTGCTCAGGTGGGAAATCGGGTGGTCCGAACCAAAAGACCATGGTTAGTCTTTTTAGCATTTTTTTTTTCAAGTTCCTTTTGTGAGAAAAAAAATCAAGAAAAGCTCAGTCATCCAGGAACTTTGTGATTAATATGACTCATTGCCATTAATAAAATTAACTGTTGAACATTTCTTAGATGGTTAATGAGTATAAATCAAATGTTGAAGCATTAAGAATGCGATTGCACACCAGTATATGTGTACTAGGAACTAACTCACAAGCTGCCAGCTATTTTACGGTGGTAGGGCCACGCAGCAGCCTCGGCTGTTGCACGAATGGGCAGGCCCGTCCGGGTAAGTACCACAACCTCACAGAAGACCAGCGTAAATAAAAGTACCCATAAATGAGAAATACTATCTTAAGTTTGTACAGTGAGGTAAGCCCATTTTCAAACTTTAGCATCTGTAAAAAGGTTTTAGAATGATGTCCATGGGCGGCGGTATAAATATCAAAAATAGTCTATGTTTGACAACTATGGCCATTTAAAAAAAAAAAAACAAAAGGCAGTGTTGAATGCTCAAATATTTATAGTGTAAGGACTATTAAAAATTTTATAGAGCATAATATAATAGTACCCATAAATATCTGCATATTAAGTTTGTACAGTGATTAAACATTGCATACTTTAGTTTGCTTAAAAAGGTTTTTGAGAATGAGAATGAGAGTATAATATCAAAAAATAGTGTATGTATTTAATGGCCATTTAAAAAAGCGACAGTTTTATTATTTTTATTCTTTTAAAATATTAAATTATTAATTAATTTCATAAAAATATTGCCTCACTTTCCATGCAACAGTGTTTTCATTGTACATTAAAACAAATTGGGTAAAAATTGACAGTGACAAGTTTTCCTGTATAGCAATAGAAAAATTATTGCAAATAGCAAGATTCTCCTTTTTGTGATTTTTTTTGTAAAAAATTCATATAAGGACATTAAAGATTAATAAGATATTGCCTATTTCAAAAAAAATTTTAAACGGAGTGCTAAATTAAAAAAATAACAAAATGTTTATTCACAAGTTTTCACTGTATAGCAATTAGCAGATAATTATTGAAACAAAGTGTGATTTTTCAAAACTTCATATAAGGAACATTAAGATTAATAATTATTGCTATTTCAGAGGTTGTTTTAAGACGTATTCATGTTCTACATAATTAGTGAACACAATTTTCTAAGATTAACATGTAGGAAACCGATAATATAAAAAAATAATTGGTACAGGAAAAAATCTGCCATGCATTGATTAACAGAAAGCATTATTAATAAAATGAAAAGTAAAAAAACAATAAACTGAAACTAACTTACCACCAACTCATTATCCTTCTTCGTTACTAATGTTTCTTCATACTCATAATCTGCATAGATGTAATCCTCAGTATATTTCACATTCTGGGAATTAATGTGCAAGCTTGAGGTTTTATCCATATTTATTAATACTTTTTACAACGACCTATCAATTATAATGTGTACTCTAGATTTCAGGTATTCCAAGTTTGCTTTCTTTTTGAGCGTTTCTCAAACACGTAATTCTATTACAGGTGCATGAAATCGAGCCTTGCAGAAATTGTTTATTTTTAATTGAACTTTTAAAGCAAAACTTTTCAGCTTCTGCCACAAGCCAAAAGCCGGCCGCAATCTCAAGTCGTTTTCTTTCTGTGAAGTGAATGATCAATGATGGATTCAGTCAGTATTTCAGTAATCAGTCAGACAATCAGTCAATTTCATTCGATTAATGAACGAACGAATCGAATGTATGATGTTGGTGAACAAATCAATGTTACCAGATAAAAAATAAGTACCACAGATTAGTATTCTATGTTTAATTTAGTAAAAATAATAAAATGTAATCAATTCAGATTATAAACATTATTAAATAAAAGTTATTTAAATAGTTTTAAAATTATTTACAGGTCTATTGCAAAATTTATGTAAATTTTATATTAAATATTTAAATGCATTCTTTAAAAATTATTCACAGTCCTTTGGTATATAATAGAAATAAATTTAGTAATTTTTTATCAAAACATAGATATGAAACAAATAGAAATATTTTGTCGTATTTCATGTCTCCAGAAGCGTACTTAAAAAAAAAATTATCGGGCGACGGGTCGAAGCGGGTAATAACACTAAGGGAATGGGATGGGAGGGGAGGTTTTCTTGCTTTTGTCTAAACTGGTTTCAAACATTGTATTGTATTGTATAGAGTTAAGACTTGGTAGTGTGTGTAATCATGATTTATGACATATGAAATTCTTATTTACGAAGCATACATTAACCATTTACATAACGTTTACCTATCAATATATGGACAAGATATTACATAGCAATATAGATAATAAAATTATTATTCATACAAACGCTCATGCGCCCTACTCTTTTAACCCGATGTAATTTAAATATTGTATAAATCAACCTAGACTATTGATTTAAAACGCCTGTGAGATATTATAATATTACCTTAAAACTTCCTAAAATATTCGTTGACGAGTGGTTGTTTAGAGGTACATAGAAGTAGAACATAGAAATGCATTCGATGACAGGTAGGTAGGTACTTATAGGTTAAAGGATGGAATCTAATAATAATAAAAAAAGAAGATTGAACCCGACTACTCTATTCAATGTATACATGTGTGCGTTTGTTATGAATGCTGTGTGCCGTTTGAAAGAGATTACAGTGCATTTTTAAAAGAATCTCATCTGTTCTGTTAATTTACAAGAAATAGGCCAATGATACGTTGAAAGTTAATATCAGAAATTGTTTTATTTTAAATATAGTTAATTTATTATATTTCTTTAAAATATACAGTCTAAAAAGGAAACGGAAATTAGTTTTATAAAAACTCTAAAAATGCTTGTAGGTACTTGTAATTATGTAAACAAAATCTAACGTTTTCAGTTGAACAAACTCGATGTGAAGTTAAATAAAAATATTGTTAGTACGTAACTAAACTTCTACCTTACTGCTTGTCAGGAATGTATGTGCGCTAGTGTACAATTTATAAAGTTGTATATATTTAATTACGGTATAATAAAGCATGCGGGGGGCGAGGCGGCGCGGCGCGCTCTCATATTCCGTATATTGATTGTGTGCGAGGGGGCCGGGGCAAGGAGGGGGCCACGGCGTGCCCCACTCTGTTTTTTACGACACGGCTTTCTGTGTAACATAATAAGTATTTAAAATTTTTGTGAAATGTTTCGGTGTTATTTGTGAAAATTCGGGAAGTCGGAAAAGCGCAATCAAGGTGAGGAAATCGCACTAAGGCGTATTTTGTCAAAATTTCTGTCTTATAAAATATAATATAAATAAAATTTTATAGTTCTAAATTCCGTCGGCGGCGCGTACCTACAGTATTACACTGTCATACCGCGTACGTATAGTGTTTTTTACGGGCATCGTTCTAAAAATAAGTTGTAATAATTATAATTTTATGTAGCGGTCGCAGCAGAGACGGTTTTCTGGCGATTTTTTACTAGACGTGAAGTAGTGAGTGATTTGTGGTTGATATAGTGTTGTGGTGGTGCAGATGCAGGGGCTGGTGAGCGACAAGACGTTCCACTTGAAGTGGAACAACCACCTGCAAAACTTGAGCCAGCTGTTCACGACCATCTACTCGTCGTCGGCGCTCGCAGACGTCACGCTCTCCTGCCGCGATGGCACCCTTAAGGCTCACAAGCTCGTCCTGTCGGCTTGCAGCCCTTATTTCGAGCAAATTTTCAAGTAAGTATTTTTGGGGTGGTAGATTATTTCCGTGTAGTTAGTATATTGAAATAATTTGGTGATATTATAAAAATTAAATACATTAAATATTTACAAAAATGAAATACAATAAATAATTAAAAGCTATCTAACCTACATGTAACAGTGGTCTGTTTGTTAGAAGTGTATTAACTAAATGAAATCATAAAACTTAATTTACAATACACCATTTTGTTCAAATTCATATTACCTTTTTTAATTTATTTATAGAATTTTTTTTTTTTTAACTAATGTGGAATTTTATTTTCCCATAGGGATAACCCATGCCAACACCCTATAGTGATCCTCAAAGGAATACCATTCTCGGAGATAAACCTACTTGTAGAATTTATGTACAAGGGTTCAGTGGATGTACAAGAGCTAGATTTACAGTCCTTAATGCATACAGCATCCGAACTTGAGATCAGAGGATTGGCATATGAGGCTCGTGATAATGCAGCGCAACTACTCAATGTTAATTTGGAGTATCCCACATACTCTCAGACAGTCACTGTGCCGCAGCAGGCATACACACAGGCACGCACTGATGTGGAAAGGCTTAAACAGGTGAGACTTATTTGATTCATTTCCATCAGCCAATGCAGAATACTATTAAAATACACAATATTATTTTAGTGCAGGAATTACAATTTCCTTAATATTTAATAAACTTAATATTAATAACATTTTAATCTTCAAGTTAATATTTCTGTTCACATGAAAATAAAATTACATTTTTAATATGCGCAATTTTCTATAAAATTGGCGGGGGCAACCAATAATCTTAGTAGCGAGGCATATGGTTGAACTTGTACATCTGTTTCGAATACTCATAGGTACTGGTATTGGGACTAATGACAATTTGGTTTTTTGCTGGGCTTTCTTAATTAAGCCAAAAAAAGTAGCCAGGTATGATATTTAAATAAAGCCATACATTAAATTCAAAATAGAGCATGTGGTTGACTACTTCTACTTAGTATTATTATTATAATAAGATGATGTCACTTGTACAGGTGCATTCACGCAACTATGATAATAAATAAATGTAAAGAAATGAAATTGTTAAATTTATTGAAATGCTCGACTGTGAACCATAATGAAAGTTATAAGTTATGCATTTGCTATAAGATGCCAAGTCTCTTTTAGTATAAAAACCAGATATTTTTCAAATGCTCACAAAAACAAATAACTGTAAATTGCTTCCATCTTGTTTTGAATGGTGATTCAATTGGCTTTTATGTGCTCATATAATAATTCCAATTTATATAACTTCAATGAGATAGTTGACAATAGTTAGTATCATTTCAAAGTTACAATAAGTACTTAAATACAGAACTTATTCTTTAAATGAAAAATAGTGTATTATGGTTTTGCACAATATTTCTTAATATTTTTGTCATCATGACATGATGCATAACTGCTTTAGAAAAATTAGGTAATAATTAACTGCTTAAGAAAAAATTAGGTAATTTTACATGTTTTGTGAATCTGGTTTGACAATACGACATTTGTCTTCTCAGATTTTATGGACATTTTGTTTAAAAAAATGATGTAGGAAAGAAAATTTTTGTACTATTCTTATAGACACGTCTTTGCTTAAGGATATTTAAGCAGTGCATTAAAATTTATATATAGATCTTTAGAATGACTTAAAAAGATTAGTTGAAATATTCAATTTATGCATAGTATGAACAGAAGTTTTATTGATAAATCGCATGCAATTTTTTTGTTACCTGTGTTTGTGGACTTTCCTTTGAAGAATCTATTATGATATCACTAATTCCTAGTAAAAATTCAATAGATGGTTACTGAATTTTTACTAACATTATAAGTTGTTAGCTTTTTTTTGTAGTCTTTACTATTTTTGAGCATTATACAGAAAAAATTCTAGGATCAATTTTTTATTTAATATTGAACATTAAGCTAATTATGAATATTTCTCTAGTTTTTGTAAACTATGATATAATATGTATGTAATATATTACATGTTTTTTTTTGTTTTGACTCGATGGTGCCGTTGCTAAGCTATGGCTTCCGCGTCGAGGGTCATGAGTTCAATTCTCAAATGGGATAAGTATTTGTGTGACCGACAAATAATTTTACTGGATCTGGCTGTTTGTTTCCCAAGGAGGGTCAGGCAGGTGGCCAGTTGTAAAAAACATAGCCAAAACCGCTTACAACTTATTCACATCTTGTGCCAACCCCACCTAGGTTGGGATAAGGACAGGAGTATGATGATGATGATTGTGATATTAGGTGATTTATAATACATAAATCTCTCGTTTTTACCAGTGCATTTTACCATAAAATGTCAAACTAATCAATATGTTTCTTGTTTTATGAAAATATATAGAAATAATTTTTAATAAATTAAAAATAATTTGTAATTAAGGATTGCCCTACTTTCAATTGGAAAAGATTCTTACGGAATATCAAGTAATCTTTAATTAGGAGCAAGATAAAAATGACTAGCGTATGTTACAATATACAATAGCCATATTTATCATTTCATAGTTAATTTATGTGGTATTAACTTTGGTACTTTAATTTCCACATTAATAGCCTAATTTTGTTAATTTATGAGCAATATCAGGATAACAATCTTTTTAGCGTTAGGTGTAACATTAAAAAAGAAAAACTACTATTAACATTGAAGATGAAATTATAAAAATTATTTCCTAATTGCAAG